AAAACAAATGATAAGAAATAAGGTTCTCAGTTATATAATCTGTTTATAAAAGCAGTGAGATCTCCACTCTACTGTATCTGCTGTACAACATAATACTGCCCACATGTCAACTAATAATCATCTCAATAATGATTCAAGGTTAAGTTCAGCATTATGTGGACTTTTACCTGATTGTTCTATTCAGGGCTGGACCTGAATATCCTGATATTCGGTTGCTGTGGTGTATCCGGTGGTATCCGCCCGCCACCCGCTGCTTAGGATTAAAAACTGGTTTTATATCTAAATAACCATTTAAAATAGATTCATCTTTAATTTGTGCAACCCTGCGTTCTGTTTATCGTGCTTTTTTTCCCCCCAGATTGGTCCATGAAACACGCAGCATGTCTTCTGCTCAGTCTACAAAAACACTGTGAGCCAACCGAGCAGAGCGAGAAGTGAAAGGCAGTGAGCTGAGGCCTGCTGGTTGGGGTCCTCATCAAGGGGTTTGCGCTGAAGAATTTCAGGAATGTGCTGTGTGCAACCGGGAGAAGAGCATGGACTACTGATCACGCCTTATGCAATGGAGCCTCCATGGACCCCTGCCTTCTTTTGTTTATGTGCACTCTGACAAAAACAAGGTTGCGATGAAGCGGCGTACACGACTGCAGCAGGGGAACGAGAAGTCACTACGGTTCTTGTTGTCTGGGGAACGTGGTAGTAGCGTCTGGACAGTGGATGCAAACTTCTGGTTTCAGCTGGACATGCATTGTGGGGTTTGCACTCATCATACAGAGCTTCATGGTGCTAAATTAAATGTTGTGCTTTCGCATGTAGAGGCAAAAACTGCAAGGCACCGCAAGATGGTCAGCATCAGCCTCTGCAGCTGAAATGCATCCATAAAACTTGCTGCACACATTCACAGCCTGGCAGGTCAACAAACTGTGCAGCTCCTAAATCAGAGTGAACGTATGAGGCAGGCAGCTCTTGTAAATCAGTTACAGAAAAAGAGCCGGCTTCAGGGTTCAACGACACGAAGACAAACAAGATTTTGAAACGATCCTCAAATCTGTGTTCAGAGCAGATTCCTCTAAATGGAAGTTCTGCTCCTGAAAGTTCAGATGAGTCACTTCCTGTCAGAGGATTTTCCACAGTGACCCTACATGTGTTTTAAATGAGATAACCACAAACAGGGCATTCTGCTGGATCACTCTCTCGTCTCTGCTACTGCCTGTATTTGCAAAATTGTAGAAGACTTCTAAAAACTGCCTGATGAGTCTTTACAGGCTGTGATGCTTCTGTACAGCAGCAGAAGCCCTTAATTAGCTGCAGGGATATTTGCACACTGACATGCTGTTCATGGGGCTCTGGCATCGTGGTTTTGACCATTTAAAACCTTTACACTGCAGCAGACTAATTACCGAGGCATGTCAAAAGGCTAATTACACCCTCACATTCAGCTAGAAAAATCCCTCAGCTAAAGAGTCCAGCCACAGAGACCCTCACTGACCGCCAAGACAGAACCAGAACCAGGTATAGTTTGCACAATACGAGGAATTTGTTCTGGTGGGTTTGTGCAACAATAATATAGAAAAATAGAAGATGCAATATAAATATAAAATTTAAAATAACAGTGAAACAGTGCAGGAAAGTTTCCCTCCGTTCCATTCCACATAGAGGCATGTATGTATTAGAAGAACTAGATGCCAGACGTATAGATGCAAACTTCTCACCCAGCACATGAGTCAAAAACATTTTTCTCTCCACAATATGCACCTACTGCACATGTGCACCCCACTGGCCCCACCCACACAGCGCTGCTAGACACTCATGTGGTAAATAAAACCAACTGCCCAGGCTCGACAAAGTCAAAATCTCTAAAATGTAGAACATGAACTGACCTTGTTACAGATTGGATTGACAGATGTTTTTATACTAAAGGAATCTTTGTTGGGCCTCACTCACCACTAAGAACACGACTAAAGGTTTAAGGTGAGAGCCTGGTTTGCTACACGATAAGAGAAGTCTGTTTATATCGACACAAACGCCTTCACAACACAAAATCCTGGAGTATTATATTTTAGTTGCTGTCTATAGCAAAGCTCGCCTTGAAAACTGTGTGAAAGTTATTATACACATCCACTCAGGGCTGGGTAACACACCTGAACATTGTTCCGTGGTAAAATGTTCAATTTCAGTTGATATTGATAATTTTAATGGCCCATTTCTAATAAAGACCAGGAGAAGCCCTTGAGCCATGTTACCGAGTAGCACAGGTAGCAAATGGAACGTTAAGCATAACAATGAGAAATACATGAACAATTTTAACATGAGTAATTTTACGGGCTACGAGGTTAAGATTCAGCGGTTGGTCAGGACTGGACGCCACTAGATGAAGACCCTGCCCCGGCCTCCAAATGCACCCCAACGTCAAATCTGTTTTTAGACCACAAAGCCCATCTAGCCAAACACCACAGTTTTCACCAGAAGAGGCCTGCAGGTGCAGACAGGGGTGATAAAGGTGGACTAGCATCCCTTAGGAGACCTGAGGGCGAAGGAGCGCCGTTATCAGCGGCTGTGATAGGCTGTTTGCATCTAATGAATTTAAGTAAAACTATTTAACATTCTATCATCCTGTTGTTACTGAAGTAGTGCCGATGGCGAGCACATATCATTATTGTTTTGTCACTGAGACAGTCGCTGCATTCCTGTCTGCTGTGTTCGTCTATCTGCCAAGTCTGACATTGTTTACGGTGATATTTAGAGGAAAACACTCGACAAGGACATTAAGAGGGCAGAACAACTGCAGCTAATCGTCGTCTTATCCAAGTTGAACTAATCTGCAGTGTTCCAGGGCTGCTACGCCAGAGTTTTGTTTCTCTCTGCGGCCCTGGAAGAGATCTAACACCCACAAAGGTGTGTGGAAAGCACTCCCAGTATTACTTCCTGTATGCACTGCTATGAGTTAGACCACAGGAGTAAACTTCACCTGCTGGATGTCTGACCTGTCCATTGAGCATGGCATGGACAGAGATGTAGTCAGAGCTAACCAGCTTCTGTTGAAGCCTCCATTTCACTACTGGAAAAACAGACTTTCAGGGAGCTTTAGGGTCTTTCCTCAGGGAACAGGAGCCCTTTGGGGAACTCACTCTCTCTCGGGGGAGTTTTCAAAAGTTCCAGCTAGATGATGTCACCATCGCCTCAAGCACAAAGCCTCCCGTTTGTTACCAACACTTCAACAGTCAAGATATGTATGTTAGGTGCTACGAAGCAAGCGTCAGCCCTCGGCTCGCTCGTACAAAGCAGAAGGGGTCTAATCATATTCTATAAGATCATTACAGGTTCGTCCATTGCTGTCCTATTAACCACAGAAAAAAGTAAAACTAAATGCACTTTCTTACTGTTGACCTACAACAACTTGTCTTCATTTCATTTTCATTTAGCAGACGCTTTCATCCAAAGCGACGTACATCTGAGAGTAGATCTCATTTATCCACCAACGGCGACATTGGGAGCAACTTCAGGTTCAGCGTTTTGCCCAAAAACACTTTGCCTGTGGAGGAGATCAAACCGCCAACCTTACAATTAGAGGCCAACCTGCTCTACCACCTGGACCACAGCCGCCCACCTGACTGTGGAAAGACACCTCGTACGCCAGATTGAACAGAAACATGTCAGCAGGCTTTCCTCCACTTTGTCCCGCCGTGCCAGGCATGACGTCTTGTTTCTACTGGCCGTGTGGTTACGCAACAGCACACAGGGTCAGAGTTCAGCATATTTCAACTTTGTGGCAGCAGGCGGTCAACCTGACTGACCTCCGCTGTGCAGCGGCACATCGTCATCGAAATGAATGAGCACGGCGATGCCATTAAAGGCCCGTTAGTCGTGGCTGGGAAGGTCTCAGATGACAATAAATTCAAACTAAATTAAATTTTGTTGGAAAAGAAATGCCCTGCGTTATCATCTTTTAGCAGCAGGAATCCATTAGATGGTGTGTGCACGTGTCCATCACAGTAAAGTCACATTCAAAGCTTCTACTGGAGTCACAGCTACAGAGATTTGGAGTTTGGTGATGAAGTGATGATGTTTTTTAAATCGATACTCGTATGCAACTCCACAAACAGACATGCTGCTGTGATGGATGAATGACTCCTAGAACTTTTCCTGTAACTCATACGTCTTTGTCACAGTAAATAATGTATTTTGATTCTTTGGTGGATTTATTACTGATCTTCTGGAATAATGGAAAGATTTGCTGAGTTAAAATATACACGCAGCAACTTGATGAACCAGTTCTGGTGATGACCTCTGAACTTCTAGAGTCAGGAAAGTCACTTGAAACCATTTCAAAGCAGATACAGATCCTCAAATCACATGAGTAAACAACTGTAAGTATAAAATACATGATGTAGGAAAAAAACCCAAATATTTTATAAATCAGTGCCTGAACCAGACAACAGTGAGTGAACCAGTAAACTTAGCAGCACCAGCTGGTCCCAGGTCCTCCCGACACAAAACCACAAATCGAACTGGACTTTCATCAGTCTTTACAATGCAAACGACATCACACAGAACAACAGCCCACTGCAATCAGATCCCTTCACTGCCTGGACTCCAGGATCGGGTTTTAAAGGCGGTCGTGTCATCGTTTCCGCAGACAAAGGAGGTCTGCAGGAAAAAAAAACGAGCTGCGACCCTGTCAGCGCTCCGAACCTCCGTCAAAGTTCTCCATCTCACATCTGACTGCTCGTTTCTTTGTTAGTTTTAATTCAACACGTGGTTTCTAAACTTCTTTCTCTTGCTTTTGCTGTAAAGTTACTTTAAACTTTTAGGAGCCGAACACAGATTCCCAAACTTCGGGAAACTTCGGAGAGCCGAGGCTTTGTGCAACAGGCTGCTCTCTCCAGCCGAGCGCAAACAGCAGAGAAATGCCAGAGCTCAGCCTTTGTTAACTCCTAAACGCGACTGGAGACACTTTCTCGCCTTCGGGCGCGCAGAGCCACAGACAGGACGGCGACACTTACTTTGCTCCTCACTTCAGCAGACAGTCCGTAGGCCGGTCCCTTATTGAAATGTGCCATTTTCGTGGCTTTGCGCGTGAAGCCGAACCAGCGTCCTCTGCTGTGCCGCTCAGAGCCCGCAGTGGAAAACTCAGGTCAGGCAGCGGATGCTTCGGTCCGTCCACAAGCGGAGCTGGAGGCTGCGCCGCTCCCACCGCATGTCGTCACGTGATTGACGTAACCACATCGGCCAATCAGAGCCGCCCATACAGGTCGTTATTTGCTGTGTGGGGATGACACACATACGGGTCGCTCCATCTCTAATCAGCACGTCCCCAGAACAGCGGTGGGTAATTATTTTTTCCATGGGGCCACATGAGAAACAGAAAACACTGTGAAGGGCCCAAAGGCTGAACTCAATTCTGCATCATATAAAGTGTATTTTATTATAAAAAAGCAGTTAAAGCATTGTTTTGACAAGCTGGTGGGCGCATATGTTATGATTAAGCAAAGAAAAACGGATTGCCTTGCAAAAAAATGTCATTTATTCAAATTTCCCCAAACATTGGTAAACAAGATGTGAACATTTTCACCATTTGTGACTTATTTTAGTGATCATTTTACATTTCCTGAACTTTTATAGTATAAAATGTGGATATTTCCAAAGATATCTGTAATTTTTTTTTTAGCTCAAGATCCTTCCATCCATCATCTCTACACCTTCACCCTCACCAGGGTCATGGGGGGCGGAGCCTATCCCAGCTGACTCAGGGTGAAGGCAGGTTCACCTGGACAGGTAACCAGTCTATCACAGGGCTACACTTAGAGACAGACAACCAAGCACACTCACATTCACACCTACGGACAATTTACAATCACCAATTAACCTCAGCATGTTTCTGGACTGTGGGAGGAAGCCGGAGAACCCGGAGAGAACCCACGCTGCACGGGGAGAACATGGAGACTCCACGCAGGAAGATCCCGGTGCCCCCACCCCGACCTTCTTACTGCAAAGCAACAGTGCTGCCAACTGCTCCACCTTGCAGCCCTAGCTCAGGATAAATAAACAAATAAAATAAATGTCTGTCAACCAACTGTCTGCAGGGTTTTCCTCAAATTGAAATTTGAACAACAATATTTCAGGAGCCACTAAAGATAAAAGCTGAAGTTGTCGCTGCTGTTTCTCACCATGTGATTGTTTTAGTGTCTGCATTAATGAACAAGAAGATCGTACAATCCCTGATTAAAGTCCCATCGTTGGACATGCTTTATGCATTTTATCCAAAAAGCTGATGATGCAGAAGTCAACTAATGATGTTTTCTGGACCTTGATACAAAACATAACAGCGAGTACAGAGCGCATGAACGTCACTGGTGAACACACTCCTGCTCGTCAGCATTTGAGGTTAAACACATGGCAGGAAGGAGGCTGGAGGTGTTCAGACATCTGCAGGTTCTTTATCTGAGAGAAGGTGTTTGCTTGACGGGCATGATGGCGTTCATTCTCAAGTCTCTGCAGAGGGAAAAGAGAAAAGATCCTCACAAAGAGATGGCAGCTTTATCTGCAGACATCAGACGTGTGAAGGGAGTGTTGAAGCAAAAACTTCGGTTGAGAGAAGACAGGAGTTTGCTGTGATCATCCATCCATGCCCAACTATAGAAACAGACATGCAGATGGACTCGTCCCTTTGGTCCAAGACTGAGACAGTTTGGGCATCATGTTATATAATTCCTATGTTAATGCATTTTGGCTGATCTGAAGTCAGAAGTAAATTCTGTCTTGTATCAGTGACACTTGTGTATTTACTGCTGTTGAACTGAGTGTCTAGTTCAGGGCCTGTATTTCCACTACAGCCTTTCTACGATCTCTGAGCGGTGACTATTTTCAATCAGAAGACATTTACCAAACCCTTTCTGTGGAACCAGTGTGAGCGTCTCAGTGTGAGTCCAACCTTCATTGTTCATCCAGTCAAACAGCTGCTGCGCTGAGTTTCTTCTGCACAAATTTTCAGAGAATGTCTATAAATAGTCCCAGATGTTAGGCTGGGCAGAAACTTCAGCTCCTTCTCTCCCCCTCCTTCTTCTGCTTCTCCTCCTCCTATTTGGTTTAGTTCAGAGAGTCATCTCAGCGCTCTTCCTGTCCACGGCTCCAACCAGGAACAGGAAACACAGCACAGAGAAAGACAAACAACGTAGAGACAATGTGAGAGACACAACAGTTAAAACAACACCCTCAGATGCTCTCACCCAGTGTGTGAAGCTGTTAGTACAGCCTCATCTAATGCACCAGGTCTTACACTTAGTGCTGCACAGACACTTTTAGCAGAAAAGAATGATGTTGTAAGATGCTCACATTTTGTCTGCCACACCACAGCTCCACTGAAATGCAAAAGTTGATGTCGTGATTAATGTTTTATGTGCCTCTCTGATAGTAACCCTGCAAATCTTGATTTTTTTTTCTTCATCCCAATCACATGATCTGATGGAATAATCATTAAATTGCATCATTATTATACTAAATGACTTTGCGGTCGTGGGCATTCAGGACTGGTTTCATAAAATAAGTTACCTGCAAGTTGCACATTACAGTTTGTGAGTGGCTGGTCTTACTTCGCCAGCCAGTTGTGTTGTGTGAGCAGAGTGTACGCCCTGCTTCCCTGTCTCCTCCAGCACACCTTATCACCTGTGGAAATGAGAGAAACACCTGTATGTTGGATCTTGGCACGCCTCTGCCAGGCTGGCTGACAATTACAACTAAGCACGTCCTTGTCACCACTCAGTTAAATCGGGTTAATAGTTGAGTTTGATGCATTAACAGCTGCTTCAGATTTTATGCACCTCTGTCCTCCACACAACCAGCATGTTGTTACCTGTAGCCACCAAGTAGACTGATTGGTAAAGAGGAATGTGTGTGCAGTTAACACAGAAAACACAACTCAACAATATAAAAAGCAGGAGCATTTATTAGAGCATGTGTGCCGCAACATATTGTTACACTGTTCTTCCAAGAAAAATGGATTTGGGGTATTTATCTCTGAGAGCGGACCACTGCACGAAGAAGTAGTCTGATATCGGATACAGGATCTTCCCCGTGAGCGATAACGTCTGCACCCGGCAGATGCTCTCAACGTAAACTATCAGGACTTTCTTCATTCCCAGGATGCCGAGCAGGAGTCCCGCCACACACAGGGGAACGCAGGTCCCCGGGCCGTTACACAGCACCTGAAACAACACACACAGGACGGGAATGAGCGCTGCTGAAGGACGTCAGACACACAGAAAGAGCAGGCTGGTCAGGACGGGTCTGTAGCAGAACTCCTCCATCACATGTAGACAATGGCTGAAACAAAATACTGCTCTACTGTCTTCATATGTTAGTATTTAGGACATGCAGTCGTATAATACGTTTGTCTCCAAAGAACATCAAGCTGTAGGTGAGAAATACGCAGGTTCTACTAACAGTGAGTGCTCATATATTAATACTGTACAGTTATATACTTAAAGATATCTATAAAGCAACAAACCATCCATATTCTCACTTTTATTCTGATTTGCAAATCCTTGTTTACGGTTCATTACTTCTGCAGCTTCAAATGTTTTTGCTTTTATTGTGCACACAATCCTGCTTCAGACGATCCACCATCAGCCACAGGCAGCCTGAATGATTACAGGCCAGTTGCACTTACACCTGTGATTATGAAGTGTTTTGAGAAACTGGTTTCACAGCACGTCAGGACCAGCCCGCCCCCCGCCTTCAACCCACATCGGTTTGCCTACAGGGCCCACAGTCTGTCAGACTCAGCCCCCTCAGAGGAGGGAGTCTGGCCTTCTTGGACTGTGCTGCACACAGAAGAAGACAGAAGCCTGGATGTAAAGATCTACAGGAAACCCACTCACACTCAGACCAATATTAGCTGTTCGACTCCCACCACCCACTGACACACAGGCTGGGAGTTATCAGAACCCGACAACACCGGGCCCAGAACGTGCCTACCAGAACAGCAGGAAAGGAGGAGGACCAGAAGCACATCACAACAGTAGTGACGGCCTGATGAAGCCTCATGAAGCCTTGATGGTTTCTGTGCAATTGGTTCAAGAAAAGGTTCATTTCTGGAGGCTTCATGTGCACACAAACCCCCCTGCTGGTCCAAACATGTAATGTCATTTCAACTATCAGAATCAGAATCCTTTTTATTGTCATGATGCACACGCTGCTTCTATACACACAATAACACTACAGTGGGAAGTAGCGACGAGCATGTAGCCCAAACACAGGAAAAGACCTCATATTTTACCACAAATAAATGATAATAGCTATGAACGATATCGTTGGGATCACTTTCAGAGCGATCTCAGAACAGCTTCTCTCTGCCTGGGTATATTTTTTGTCTTTTCTGTTTGAATGGATACGGAGCTTATAGCAGCTGGAGCACACAGCTGCTCAGCGCTGGTGTTTACAGAATGTTAGCGTTGGTCAGTGTGGGTTCACACATCTGTACAGTGATCTCTGTAGTTAATAGTGTGGACGGACCAGAACAGGAAAACTGGTTAATGCTGACTGTTGGTAGAAAAGAACGACAAAAACATCCCAGTATATGCGCTGTCTGATGGAAAAACGTGGCTCAGACACGAAATTCTAACTGAAATGTATTGGTTTGAAATTTGTGTTGGGGGACACGGAAAAGTCGGCAAGTTGTGTCCCAGGACACAAATTAATAGATTAAGTTTTGTGATTACTTCACCAATTGCTGAGACTGGGTTGCACATTCACACCTACAGACAATTTACAATCACCAATTAACCTCAGCATGTTTCTGGACTGTGGGAGGAAGCCGGAGAACCCGGAGAGAACCCACGCTGCACGGGGAGAACATGGAGACTCCACACAGAAAGATCCCGGGTGTCCTCACCGGGTTCTTCTAGCTGTGAGGCGACGGTGCGAACCACCAGGCCAGCGTGCAGCCCGTGATCAAAGTCCTGACTTCCTATCTGTGTCAAAACTACTTTATTTAAACACTATAAGCATACACGTTTCAAAACAGTTGTATCTGCGTGCTACTCAGAACCAGAGCAGTCGGGACTCCAACATGAAATAGCTTTGTTTCACAGCAGGTCTACGATGACTTTCCTCTAAGACAAACCACTAGAGCTGGAGGACAGTCCAGGAAACATTACTGCACAATGATCTTGAAATTTATTATCTTTCAAGCTAAAAGTCACTGAGCTGAATTTTCCTGCTGCACAAAAATCGAAGAAATGTGAAGATTATAAAGGCAGAGAGCAGAAATTCACCACATGTGGGTGCCTTAGTGGCAGCAGTGAAGGTAGCTCAGGCAGACTCAGGACAGAAGGGGAGACAGCTCAGATAAATAAGTGACCTCAGAACTGAAGGAGGCTGAGGGAGTTTGGGTTCACAGGAAACCAGACGGAGCTGAAGTCTGGAGAAGTCATCATGCAGCTCCACAGCACAGACACAGCAGAACTCTAATCCTCTCCACACTGCTCGGAAAACAACAGCTCTGCACTCTGCCTTCGCCAGTCAGAACACTTCTGTCATTCTTACAGCTCAACAATAGACGTACAACAGTCCCCTAACATCCACACAGTGAAGTGGTTCATGGAGCAGCAGATGTAAGGATTAACATGACAAACCACTCACTTGTTAGCTGGAAAAATGATGTGCTCAGTTAAAAACACATCTTCAAGTCAACCATCAACAGCAGCAGATCTCACCATTTTACACTCACTCTGCATAAAGTAATTACAACAATGGAGACTGAAATCTTATTGTCCTTATTTCCAGGCACTGGATGTACACACACTTATATTATCTGGCAGTTGTCGGCTTTGTAACTTGATTTTTTCTGGTGGCCCCAGCTGACTGGAGATGATCAGAATCTCAGCTGTTGAACCTGCAAATTCCCCTTTAGGCAGAATCAGTTCCATGCTCATGAGTGTGGTGTGGCTGGACGTTTATGACTGTCGGTCAGCCATTCTGCATTTATAAGCCTGCCTGGAACATTCTTGGCATGACTACTGTGGACATTAAATCCCCAGTTTTGTTTCCACCTAGCCACCAACAATCAGACGGTCTGCTGGACAGACATCCAGGGTGACTGGTCACAGGTCTGGAATCTGATATGACTACAGTCATCAGGTAAACATGCATTACACACAGACCAGGAGCAAGACACGTCATCTGTACGTTACCACAACCGACAAGCTGACAGATTCTAAGTTCATTAAAAATAGTCTATAGTAGATCTTCTATCCATTTTCTTTTGCTTATCCAGGGTTGGGTTGCGGAGGCAGCAGTTGAATCAAGTCATTCAAGGCATAACTCTCCCTACCCACGCTTTCCAGTTTGTCCCAGGGGATCCAAGGCATTCCCAGGTAAGATGAGATATGTAGTCTTCTCAGCAAGTTCTGGGTTTAACCTGGTGAAAATCCTTCCAAAGAAAGTTGCCCAGGAGAGCTCCTTAATCCTTCCGGATGTCCCAGCTCCTCACACTATCCATAAAACTGGCCCCAGCCACCCTACAGATGAAACTCCATTTGGCCACTTGTATCCACCACCTCATTGGTTCAGTCACTACTCCGTCTTATGCTTCATTTTTCCATCATTTGTGAGCAAGATTCCGAGAGGCAGTAACTTCCCCCAACCAAACAATCCACTGGTTTCAAGCAGTGAACCATGGATTGGTGCTGACCGNCTTCAAACTTTTCATTTGAACATGTTATTTAAACGTACAACAATAAATCAACATTATATGAACATATATACGTATAATCTGCTATTTACTGATTATTTTTGCTTTATTTTATCTATAACATGTCGTCATTTTTACATTATTATATTTTACAATTGTTTAGATTGTTGTTTTCAGAGAAAAGCTTGTATCGCCGATCTTCCCCACAGAACCTGAACGCAGCATGTGTTCAGGCAGCGAAGGCAGCGCAGCATCAGGACAGGATGGACAGCTAGCGGTGTGCGCCTCTGCTCAGACGGCGTTAGGCAGAGACCAGTGACAGGTGGGTACCATGTCATCACCCTCATGCTCCGTGTGTCGCTCCACTGTGGACGGTGCTGCTCGGAGCTTGCTGTGTGTGTTTGCGGCTTGTTGGCGCAGCGGCAGCGGCTGTGCTGCTGCGCTACAGGTGCACACAGGCTGCATGTGCGCACACGGCCGCGTCCTTCACACCGTCACTGTCTCCGCAGACAGAAGGTCATCTGAGACGCAGCTCGTCCCGGTGGATGGAGCGGCGCTTCTGCAGCGGATGAAGGGAGCTGCTGGAGTGTGTGTGAGTGTGTGTTCACAGAGTGTGTGTTCACAGTGCAACACAAGAGGCTGCCCACCCCAACACACAGGACACACGCATCCACACTCATGTACAGGTACACTCCAGGATGCTGCAGTGCCCTGTGGACGAAATGGTACAAAAAACTGATGTCGTTTGTGATGTGGTGCAGCTGACCGGATGCTGTCATGGTGCCTCAACAGCAGGACTGCTCTGAGGTTTCATCAACCAACTGTTGTTTTGTCAGCTGGAATTAAAACACTCAGTCAGTCATGTGTGTGTGTGTGTGTGTGTGTGTGTGTGTTGCAGTAGGAGGCAGTTGTGCCCGAGGGAGAGCAGTGTGGCAAGATAGATATGTGTGGGTAGGAAGTGCTGAGCAGCTTCCAGACCTGAGACATGGGACATTGCTGGTTAATCAATCCCTTCATATGACAGCATTCTGTCATTCAGACTCTCTCACACAGACTCCTGTTATGTAGATAAAAATCCATCCACAGCTGTGTAACACTTCACCTGTCTTTTTTAAAGATATTTTTTGGCCTTATTAAATAGGACAGAGAGAGACAAGGGAAGGACCTGCAGCAAAGGGTCATGAGCTGGACTTGAACCCATGACCGCTGCCTTGGGGACTGTAGCCCCCATACATGCAGCTCAGCCAGGTGAGCTACAGCAGCTCTCCACAGGTCACCTGTCTGATGGATCCTGATCCTCTCCATGTCGGGATCATTTCTCGTTGAAGCTCATGATGAAGTTGTTGCTCCGTCAGTGAATGCAGCAGCTCTCTCTCTTGTTCAGCAGCACATCGAGGAAACGTAATGCTAAAGACATCTTTTGAAAAACAAACAAACAACAACAACAAAAACACACAGGCCCTATAAAAAGAAAACTAAAAGGATCTCTTTGATTTGACCAATTTAACGTTGGTTAGATTCTGATATCTTTTAAATGTATTTTCTTGTTTCAGAATGAGGACTGTCTAGTCCGTCACTACAGACCCTGCCAATAAAAATCACATTTCTTTTACTGATTTACCATTTACCTGTGGTGTGTTTACATGTTGGAAAGCACATCAGGACACATCTAAAAGCGTAACTTTGAGACACAGAGATTCGTTTTTAGTTTAATCTACTACTAAAGAAGCTCTTTACCATTTCTCGTACCTCTCTTAGGCCCACTGAAGTCTTTATAGGCAGACACCACAGAAGAAGAAAGATGGACTCCATCTCTATGATGTGTGGCAGCCGGAGCCCCGTGTTCCTCACAGCCTCCTCCTCCCACCACCTCCACCATGCCCAGGCCTGTCTGCTGCCCAGTGTCATAAAGAACGGAGTCGCTGATGTAGGAAACTCCCGTCTGCCGGTGCAGCCCACCGTGGCCATCCTGGGCTCCGGCGACTTCTCCAAGTGCCTGACCATTCGAATGCTGCGTTGTGGCTTTCATGTGGTGGTGGGCAGCCGCCATCCGAAACTGGCGGCTCATTCGTTTCCTCACGTGGTGGATGTGACGCACCATGAAGACGCTGTGGGGAAGGCCAACATCGTGTTCCTGGCTATCCGTCGTGAGCACTACCCAATCCTGTGGGACCTCAAGCATCTACTGGAAGGTACAGAAGACACAACGACAGCACGAACTTTTTAAAGTGGATTTTAAATAACAGAATTTGCACATTATATCGACTGAACCGTACATAGGACTCATCTAAACTGGTCAAAAATATGTACATTTTTTTAAAGACAATATAGATTGTAAGGCTAATGAGCTGCCAGGCGCCTTGTTCAGACTGAAACAGAACCTATTGATCTCACAAAGGAAATGATTTCTTTATCTTTCTCAAAAAGTGTTTTGTCAACGACAGAATTCAAAAGACGGTTGTATAATGAACGTGAGCTGGTTCACTGTGATGTGTCCACTGTCATTAATCTGCTTCACGGAGCTCGTTCTCGAGACAAGAGCTGATCAAAGTTACTGTAGTGGATCAACTAATGCAGGTGTAATAATTTACAATAATTCAGAGTGATGCCATTCTCACAACATGCTGCCACTGACAAAGGTAGAAGCAGATCGGCTTTGCTGCCAAGAATGAGTTGGAGTCCCCAACAGCCTGCAGTGGTCTGTTGTGCAGATGTAGTTTAACAGATATTGAATGTATTTATAGATGTTTGTCTTGTTGTCTTGCAGGGAAAGTCCTGGTGGACGTCAGCAACAACAGGAGGGTGAACCAGTATCCAGAGTCTAATGCCGAGTATCTGGCTTCACTGCTGCCCGGCTGCGTCGTGGTCAAAGGCTTCAATGTGATCTCAGCGTGGGCCATGCAGCAAAGCTGCCCTAAAGACGCCAGCACACAGGTACAACCACAAAGATTCTGTCCTTTCAAAGAACAACAAACTCTAAACAACATCCACTTATGTTGTTTCTGGAGATTTCTTTGGCTTCACCATCTCCAATCATGGAGTTATTGGCTCGGTTATTGTTGTCATCTTAGTTTGGACCTTCAGTCCAAGGATAGAAGGTTATTTACTGCTTTAAAGAGCTCTATCTTTGTTAATTGTTTTCATTTATTCTACGTATACAGTCTGAAATGTTCTGTATATTTACATTGCTGAAAGGTAATGAAAGGATGAATTGTTCAGCTCCACCATGGTTCCTCTCATGAGGCGAGGTACTGATCAGTCATTCCAGTTTTCTGTCGGTGCAGGTTCACCCCTGATAAAAGGGAGACAGCCCTCTACTCACACTCTGAACTGCTCACTGCTAAGGCAAGCTGCTAAACCCAGCTGTATAAAACAGCACCTGGAGTTTCCTAAAACCAAAGCTCAGTCTAATTCCCTCGTGCTAGGACAGCGTGATACTGAAGGTAGATACAGCTGCAGACAAGAAACCCTCCAGTATTGCACATAAAATAGAGAAGCAACTTGCTCGTCTGCAAATGGTGTCCTTGAGCGATGGCTCATCGACCTGTGTGTAATAGTCCTTGGAACAACAATGGAGCTTTGTGGCAAAGAAAACTATGTCCTGTGCTGATTGTCATATCCCCACACTGTCCCTCCACCCACTGCACCTCTAACCAGCTCTCCTCTCCTTGGTCCTGGCTTTTTACAGGTGTTCATATGCAGTGATTCGGTGGAAGCTCGGCAGCAAATCATGGAGTTATGTCGTCAGCTCAACTTCCAGCCGGTGGATATGGGCCCCCTGTCTTCTTCCCGGGACATTGAGAACATGCCCATACAGCTGTTTCCTGGCTGGAAGGGCCCCGTCCTCGCCGCCGTGGCCCTCGCCATCTTCTTTTTTGCTTACTCTTTTGTGCGAGACATAATCCACCCGTATGTGAAATACAAGCAAAGTGACTTCTACAAGATCCCCATAGAGATAGTGAACCGGACGCTGCCCACTGTGGCCATCACTCTCCTGGCTCTGGTGTACCTGGCGGGCCAGCTGGCCGCTGCCCACCAGCTCTACTACGGGACCAAGTACAGGCACTTCCCACACTGGCTGGAGGGCTGGCTGCAGAGCCGGAAGCAGCTGGGTCTCCTCAGCTTTTTCCTCGCCGCCGTCCACGTCCTCTACAGCCTCTGCTTGCCCCTGAGGAGGTCTGAGAGGTACCTGCTGCTCAACACCGCCTACCAGCAGGTCAGTAGGACAAAGCCTGTGAAAAGCAGATGTTTTCCACCAAAGTAAACAACTCTCCTTTGCTTTATACACAACTGGCCTGATAAGGGCTTCAAGCAGGGTTCTGTTTTTTTCATCGCTGCTTGTGATCATAAGATGTTGCATATTCATGTACTAATGTGTGACCAGACTGTATTTTTGGGTTAAGCAGCTTACCTTTGTCCCAGGCCTTCCTCGCAGGTTAATCTGGCCACACGTGAACCACGACGACTGTTATGAATTCCAGTTTTCTGTGTGTCTGCAGGTCCACGTTAACGTGGAGAACGCGTGGAACGAGGAGGAAGTGTGGAGGGTGGAGATGTACGTTTCGTTTGGCATCATGAGTCTCGGCCTTCTGTCCCTCCTGGCCATCACCTCCATCCCCTCCGTCCACAGCACGCTCAACTGGAGGGAATTCAGCTTCATACAGGTACACAAGCACCGAGAGGTTTTACCTCCGCTGCATTTGTTTAGCCTCTCTCATGAGAGCCAGAGGACACAAAACTGTAGTGGCAACTGACAGGGATGAGAGTAAACATGATTTAGTTTATTTCAGCTAAGCAGCATTTAGCATTTGTGCTTTTTCTGCTCCAACGGGCTGTCCAGCAGGAGCCATACGTTATGTGTCAGTAACAATTCACAGAATCAGTAAACAGGAGAAAAGGGAAATTGAAATATTAGTAACAAAAAAAACAAAACAGTAAAAGGTGTTTCTCCAGTTTTATGCTTTTACATGCAGCGTTTTGACGCCTACCTGCTGTTTAGATGTCTGTCTGCATTAGAAATCAGAGATAACGACATCCTGAATCACCTTTACATGCCATTTGTCACAGCCTGTAACCGCTGACCATATTCATCAGTGGGTCACATCAGCAGCTGATTTATAAAACCACTGCATGCATCCTGTTCACCTTTTAACCTCACATCTCTCCCTTTGCGCCTCTCGTTATGCCTGAACAGGCTGGAGCAGGTGATGTTGGATGTGTGTTTTGCACAGGGGAATGTTAGCGGGAGCTGTGAGTCTGGGTTTCCTCTCTTTGTGGTGTGTTGTTACTGTGAGTCTGCTTGTCTTTGCTGCAGTCCACTCTGGGCTACATCGCCCTGCTCATCGCTACCTTCCACGGCCTGCTGTTCGGCTGGAAGCGAGCCTTCGAGGAGGAGGCCTACCGCTTCTACCTGCCTCCCAGCTTTGTGGTGTCCCTGGCGCTGCCGGTGTGCGTCATCGTCGGGAAGGTCCTGATGCTGCTTCCCTGCGTGGCCCACAAGCTGCACCAGATCCGCAGGGGCTTGGACAACAATCAGTACCGGTGCCAGCGCCTGGAGCCAGTGGGCTCAGCTGCCCACATTTCCCCTGAGAGAGTCACCATCATGTGATCACGGAGGGGTTTTCACATACGCTGCTACAGCAAGCTGCTTTACTGGACCTGATCCATGTGACTCGTGTTGGAAGGACACGTTATTTTCATTCTGTCAATGTGAACAGTTTCTGCTGACATGTGAACTCTGTACTTGTGTCCTTATAACTGTGACTGTTGACTGGAGCTGCTGACCCTGTGCTATGTTTCAGCTGTTTGCCCTTTAAAACACTGAATATTCTTCTCCTGTCAACGTGCTCCCGGTACTTTGGCAGTATTTAATCTGTTCATTGCTTGTAAAGAAGAACTCCAATTTTACACATTAAGTAAACTTTCCTGCTTCTACTTCGCCTGTAAAAACAGTTGGATATCGTCTTATATTTGACCCTAGAGGAGCTTTGTCATGTCTGAAAAAAAAACCTTTACACTGTCATCGTGATGTCAGGGAGGATGGAGGAGGTCTCCTGTGTGTGATGCTGACCTGTAGCAGCTCTTTAATTAGTATTTCTGCTGGTAGGCTGACAAATCTCATTCAATATAGTACCTTCTTTTTTCCTTCCAGGTCCTAACAGATAATGGCAGAAATAATTTATTCACCAGGCTGGACAATATTACCAGTTACTATCATCACCTACGACGCTTAAAACTATTCTCTTTCTGGTCTCACTTCAAACTATAAAGAAATGTTTTCAGGTATTGATTCTGCAATATATCTGTGTGTTCTATTTCCTGTCTGTTGGGGCTGTGCTACAGTACCGATGAATATTGTGTCTATAATCAGTGAGAGCCACGGCTTGAAGAGTTTCTGTTGGTGTTATTTGTGACCGAGCGTTCAGGCACAACTTAGAAGGACACTGAAGCTAAATGTGGTGACATCAGAGCTGTGAATGTTGGGATGTGATCCAGAAGTAACTGCAAACATTTACCAAGAAATAAAGACAAAACTTGGAAGAAAAAAAAAGTTGCTTACTGAACTTGTGCTGAAGTATCATCACCCTGACGAACATCTCAGTTTCTNAATAACCTTTGAAATTTTAACTTCTTGGACATCAAGTAGTACTTCGTATGGAATACTTTCTGAGTAACCCATATAACTAGTGCTTAGGGTGGGATGCCACGCCGCCATGCACTCCAAGAAGGATTCTTCCTCTCAGCTCCGTCGTCACAGCCATCTTGATGTCGTCCACGTCTTCTAAACAGGTCCCCTTGATGACCCCCTTGAGCTTGGGGAAGAGGAAACAATCCCACGGAGCCAGGTGGGGTGAGTAGGGAGGTTGCTCCAGCACGGAGATGTTCTTCTCAGCAGGACCTGTGGGATGCTCAGGGTGTTGTGAGCAGGTTGTCATGGTGAAGCAGCCCTGACTTGTCCTGACACAACTCTGCCTCTTCTCACACACTGAACGAACCAAACACCACAGGATCTTTTTCTAGATGTGCTGGTTGACCGTCTGGCCCTGTGGCAAGAAATCACAGTGGACGATGCCTCTCACATCAAAGAATGCAGTCAACATGACTTTGACTTTGGACTTCGACTGTCTTGCTTTCTTCGGCCTTGGTGATGTTGGACTCTTCCACTGAAGGCTCTGGTGTTTGGTCTCCGGGTCGAACTCGAAGATCCATGACTCATCACCGGTGATGACTCTCCCGAGCAAGTCTGGTTCCATTTCAAGACGCTCGAGGATGTCCTGACACATTTGAATGCATCGATCCTTCTGGTCATCGTTCAGCGGTTTTGGCACCATCTTTGTGCTGACTTTCCACATGTCCAAGTCTTCAGTGATAATCTTCCAGACGTTGTCCCGGTTCATGTCCAGCTCATTTGCAATCAGTTGAACAGTCAACCGACACACCATCTGCCTGATGCGCTCAACGTTGGCCTCAGTCCTGTTCGCTGAAGGCCTTCTGTTGAAGTTTTCCCCAAGTGGACCAGAAACTTCAGGTTTGTTTGTTGCTCTGTGCTCATTGCTTGATGACATGAAACAGAGGATATTTATATAAAAGCACGTGGATAAAGTTCAGTGGCTGCAGAGAGCTGAGATCACAGATATATACTCTCGGGCGATTACTTTGAAGGGGAAACTCGTAGTTTGGGTTTGACATATATCTTTTGTTACCGAAACTTGTAACACCTTGTAGTCACAGAATCCATCCATCATCCCTACACCTTAANCAGTAACTTCCCCCAACCAAACAATCCACTGGTTTCAAGCAGTGAACCATGGATTGGTGCTGACCGTCATCGCTGCCACTTCACACTCAGCTGAAGCTGCCCAAGTGCATGACCACGTCATTTACAAAAAGCTAGATGACCTCCTTACACCTTCTGTGTCTTAAGACTCCATTCAATGAATGTCATGAACAAGATCGGCGGCAACTCTAGCAAAGTCTAACACCCACTGGATGTGTGTTTAGGATGCAAACACAGCTCTCACTTTAGCTGTACAAGGGTAGAATGGCTCATAACAATGGCCCTGGTACCCCATGTGCTTGCAACACCACCCACAGCGTCCCTCGTGGGAGCGCAGCTGTAACACGGGCTTTTCCAGATTCTACAAATCATTGACTGGCTGGTCAAACTCCCATGACCCCCTCTGTAGCTCTGCAAGGGTGAACAGCTGGTCCACTGTTCCATGGCGAGGACAGAATCCACAATGCTCCTCCTTGAGTCGAGGTTCAACAGTAAATCGAACCCTCCTATCCGGCACCCTGGAGTGTAATACCCTGATAGTTGGAGCACACCCTCTAGTCCCCCTTTTTAAAAAATGGGAACCACCACACAGTCTGCCACTCCACAGGTAGCATTCCCAATGTCCATGTAACACTGAAGAGGAGAGTCAGCCAAGACAGAACAACAACGTCCCGATGCTAAGGCACCTTTTTCAGTCCTGTGAGCATCACAAACTCACATACTTCACCATGAACTGTAAGAGTTGTTCTTTCTATCACTTTATTCGTCATCATATTTGGCTTTTGTAAGCAGTGAACTGGTTTACAGCCAGAATATATCTTTGTTATTTCTCAGACGCCTGCTGTACTTGTGTATTTTTATCATTTGACAGTCGTATTTTTTTTGCTGGATATGTCAAAACAAAAATTGTTGTTCATTTAATTCATTGTCAGTTTTTTAACAGATAGGAAACTATCACCTATAATCACTGATACTATTGATACTGTCACTGCAACATACTTTATCTCATCCAGCACTCCTTCTGATGACGTCCACCGTTGTACTTACTCACCCTGCCATACCTGACACTCATGTTCTCCACGGCTTCACAAATTACACTGAGCAGACCCGACCGAGACATTTTCACACTGTTGTATCTATTCCAAGCTGGCCCTTCAGACCACTGAGGGTTCAGGGAGAGGATGTGTAGGAAGAGGAAAGGTTTCATAATTTTTCCTCTCCTTCTGTCTGGGTATAGATCACTAAAGTCAATGGAATATGACTGACTCAGTTTGTACAGCAATATTGTAGTCTGGATAACATTTACTCATGATTCATTGAGCTTGGAAGCCTAAGAAATCCAAAAAGCAAAGGGACTGACTTACATGACAAGGAGACTCAGTGATTTTACACTCGGTGTTGCATACAGGTCTTTGTGGCAAAAACAAAGATCATTTTCATGTGTGACAGTTCAGCATGTTGCCTCCACACAAGACTATATCTGACCTGTTTGTTTTGATCGGCCAGTGGTTTAAACAGCTGTCTAGCACAAACATTTTCCCGTTACACATGTATTTTTCTAGGGGCTGCAAGGTGGCTCGATGGTTAGCATCGCTGCACTCCGCAGTCCTCTGTCAGTAAAGTGTATGTGCAAAGGTACGGCAGTATGCTGCTGTGACTGATGTCTGGGTCCACTCACCACGTCAGGTCTGAGTCGAAAGACCAAAGGGAGGGAGTACTGCAGGGCATGCAGGGTGCTGACAACCGAGGAGCTCAGAGACTGACGAACCTCCCGGCTCCGTGGGATTCGATAGATGGTAAACTGCAGAACACAGTAGACGGTCATCAGACAAGACTCACCCAGAAGAAAAAACTAAAGTTAACATAGAAATAACATAACGTTGCATCGTGGATCCTCTAACATTCTTCTTATCAGTGATAAAATCTCTTAAAACTAAGACTACAGACCATAACAACATTCTGCAAATAGTTTCAGTTATTTTCGTTGCCAAAATAATGAATACAAATTTGCATAGCAGAGTTTTTTTTTCTACCTAATCTTTCATCATGTGTTTTGTCTCTCTTAGGAGGGGTCCCGACTTTTAGATTGGAATCATTGGACATCTACAGAGTAGCTCAAAGTTGTTGAACCTGGATCAGCATCAATAGTGACACTATTAAAAACACTGAAAACACTGAGCTTAATGAATGTGATAATTCAACACTACAATGACTAGGAGCCACTTCCGTTTTGTGGATGTATCATGAATAATTCTTAACATAACACATTTAAACTTTTAAAATACTTTTTGCAGGACTTTAGCATGTAGCGGACCCATTCTGGTACTTTTCCTAATGTCAGTGATGTGACTACTTATTCCTCATACCTGTGATTCAGAGTCTGACTGTCCTCTGGAGCTTTCAAAGGTGCAGATCTTCTCCTGGCTCATCTTGTCAGTGTCGGCAATAACATAGTACCGTGGCGTGTAGGAGGAAGACAGGCACTCCATCAGCCGCAGGATTTCTGTAGTGTGACCACCTATTAACCACAAAACACAGTGTCAGTTACACTTTCAAGATAATAACATTACGATTATACCCATGGTGGAGTGGAAGACACTGACATGTTGGACCTCAGTAATGCTCTAAAGACAGAATGGGAAACTGTAACTGCAGCCAGGTTCAATATTCAAATATTCGTATATCAAAATTGCTATCCGGATATCAGCACAATGACTGAATATTCAGTTATTCGGGCCAGCCCTAGTATAAATTAAGTAAATTAACTCAAACAGATCACATTTATTGACATGCCAGCTCTGCAAAATGAGCGAGAAGCAGGAGAGAAACATTAAAAAGGCATATTTGGTTGCAAAAAGAGATGCAAGGTCAGTCGTATGGAAATGTTTTGGCTACAGGAAGGATTATGTTGACTAAAAACAGATTCTCTGTCTGCAATGTCCAACACAAGTAATTATTTTTACCACTTCAATCTGCAGCAGAAAGCTCTGTATGATGATAGCAAACAGATCTGAATGCCATCCAAAGAAAAAAACAAAAAACAAGTTTAGATGTTCTCGACCAACGTTATATCATGAGATGGTGTATAAATATTACACCACCTTTATTTGTACGCATTTTACGTTTTTCGCGTGTCATTCTACGCTGTTTAGTTCCCACAGTAGTGAGACGAAGTGTCATTTTACAACCAACAATTTATCAGCTGCACAGCCAGAAGATACAAAAACCACTGAGAAGGTACAGCGTGAGATGAAGGTCCCAGCTTTCCTTACATGTTGTGCATGTAGATTATCTTTATGTGCTCTTACACTGATGTGCACTGCGGTATGAATTTGTTCACAGTTTGGCTAATTTGGGAGTAAACCACTTTTGCGTATGTCAGTACATGAAACACTAAAGAGCAAAGTACTGACTGTGGTGTTTCTTCTTCTCTTAAAAGAAAGTACAGTAAATGTTGGTTATTCATGCTGATGTGTATCAGTAAAATATGAATTTGAGATTGATGATTTGTCAGTTTTATCCTTTTAACACTGAAGGCTTATTCATACAGAGTGCTTAAAACACAGTAATCATCTATCATTAAATTACATTTTGGCATGCTAAATGTCATATTTGCATATGGTCGAGTTATATTGATTGATATAATTTTGAAAATTTATTTCTATTCAGATTCACATTGTTACGTCATTTATAATGAAAACGCTTCGTTTCTGTTTTAGTGCCACAAAGTTAGAAATCTAAATTTAATACGGAATTAGTGACATTATGGATAAAAGGACCTGTTTAGGACTTATGTTACGTTTCTGTCCTTACAACGTAAAAACACGCACTTCCGGGTCTAGACGCTAACAGGGTTGCCTTAGCAACGAGCGCAGATTCCCCCCAAACACTTCCGGTGTCACAAAAACACAAAAATTACCGCAATACGATGTACTCTGTTACACTTATTTCATACTACACGTATTATACTGTAACAGCAGCACATCTATCAGTAATTTACTCCGTTTATTTTTACTTTATTAATACAAAAAACACGAGTCTAGTTGTAAAGAACTGCACAACATGTGAAGCCATCAGCTGACGGCTCACTTCTGTCTGACACAAGCTCCTCCTCTCGTCGACGTCTGACGAGCGCTTTACTAACACCCTGAAACAGCTGAAACTCGAACAATACAAGACAACGTTTCACAAGTCACCAGCATGCATCTTAACCTAGCAGACTGAGGACCGGTACCACACATATTCACACGTATCCCGAACTTTACCTGAACCGGCAACCACCAGAACGGCCACTGGACCTTTGGCTCCAGGCTGAGGCTTTTGCTTCTTCACGACAGCATATAACCGAATAATAAATATGAAACACAGAAGTAAAGCCGCAAACACAGCTCCCACCACGAGCGTCATGTTGGCTACGGCGGCTCTGTGGGACCAAACCAGACAGCGCGCTTCGCCTTCCTGTGAATCCCTGAGCTGAGGCTTGCAGGCAGATCGTCCGTTCAGCTGTGTATGTGTGTGCTGCAGCTTTAAGACCGCACTTCCGTGGTTTTCATCCACTGATGAGTTGTTTTGTGTTTTTTTGTTTTGTTTTTTAAAAATAAACTTTATTGGCAAATTTGAATGTACAAAAACATGGCATATAGAAACGTTGCAAAGACATTTTCAAAGTGTTGAGGTAGCTCTAGAACAGAAAAAACAACTTAAAGGAATAACAAAATAAGATGAGGATCTCAGTCAAGCAGCATGAATACGTCCATCAAGGAAAAACGTCTTTGGGCATTTTTGTTTTCAGAATCAGAATCAGAATCAGAATCAGTTTTATTGCCAAGTAATTTTTACATCACCAGGAATTTGACTTGGTCCATTGGTGCAAAGAAGCAGAAAACAGATACCAAAATAAAATAAAATATTAACAATACCAAAAAAAAGGCAGATGTGAGATAGTACAGAGAAGAGATTTTGTGAGTGTTCATTCTTCCACCCATTAAAATGGGGTTTAGTTTTTGCATAGTTACTTAGATGAATAAAATGTTTGGCCAACAGAATCAGGTTTTAACCAACAATACACCAGTTTTAATGAAGCACATGTTAAGAGGACGTATTGAGATATTTTTTGATTGAAGTCAACTTAGAAATGTTGCCCAAAATTCATACTAATGACAGAAAAATAAATGTTTTGTTGTCTCAATTTCTCTTTCACAGAACCCACACGAGTTAATATTAAATTATGCAAGAAGCTGTTTGATGGATCAGTGTCATTTAAGATTTTAAATGATGCTTCTTTAGTTTTAAATAAAGCTGGATATGACAGATATCTTTTTCCTTATCTTCCTGGATGCTGCTACATCATAGTCTCTTAGAATGAACCTTTTTTTTTTTGTATTGGAAAGGGTGATAGTGAGCTAAAAACACCTGTAATGCTTCATGCTAAGTACACAATTTGTCCAAATGCACCTCCAAGTAAGTTAAGTTACAAAAATGAGGTGCTATTTTAGGTGGAATAAAGATTTAAGACTATAACCTTTCAGAGAGTACTATTTAGGTGGAATAAAGTAATGTTTTGTCTTCAGTAAACCTTTAAATCCATAAATTATCTGTTCATTACCATTATATGTGCAATACTGCAATTTAAAACTGTTAGAAAACTGCAATTTATTACTTGATTTTGGCAAGTTTATTTCTCTTTTCACAGTACTTTTTATTTATACTTGCATACTTTTCTTTTACATATATTTTATTTAGAATTTCTTAGATCTAGATGTTTATATTTATTGCCTGTCTTGTTATTGTTGTGTACCATGGTTTCATTCATCACGTCACACTCCTTGTGTGTGTGAGCTCCCTTGGCAATAAAAAGCTTTCTGATTCTGGAAGTAATGTTTGGCTGGAATAAACCTTTAAAACTGCAAGTGACACTTTGGGTGAAATAACCTTTGAAATTTTAACTTCTTGGACATCAAGTAGTACTTCGTATGGAATACTTTCTGAGTAACNGACAATTTACAATCACCAATTAACCTCAGCATGTTTCTGGACTGTGGGAGGAAGCCGGAGAACCCGGAGAGAACCCACGCTGCACGGGGAGAACATGATCCTGGGTGTCTCATATGTATTTGAATACGTAGACTTTTCAACTATGAATGCCTCCATAAGCATTGACAAATAGTTTTACTACAACAACGCACCGTACACTGACCTTTGCAATCTATAAATGAAAGCTCTCGTCCTAGATTATTAAAATAAGACTCCATGTGTCTCCATGTGACCTCAGTCAACACGGCAGAGACACAGAAATAGTCTCAGAGCAGGAAATAACTTTAAGTCTGTGTTATTTACTACAATCATTTCTATCCACAACTATCTCCTTCAGCCAGACTACAGGCCTCCTGAAGGTGGTGTCAGGCTGTGATGGGACTCAGGACACCACTCTGCTCCCTCTACAAAAAGGATTCACAAATATCTGATGACCAGTCAATGTAAAAGATGGAAGGTCTGTCTAAACACAGTATAAAGTCAGTGTATTCTTGACATGTCCAGGGTCTATCCTGCTCTTGCTCAAAGTCAGCTGGGATCGGCTCCTGCTCCCCTACAGGGAATAAAGCAGAAATAAAGGATGGATGGATGATCCTGACATGTTAATCATCATCCTGTGAGGATGTTCTGCCACTGAATGCAGTTTAGGTTTAACAAACTAACAATGTATGGGTGTAAATGTCCTCATCCATGTATCCATCTCAGCCCTGCAGCTGATCTGTCATCATGGTGTGATAGCAGAGAAGCCCAACATTTGTAAAGTATAAAAAACATTTTATTGAAAACCCGTCATCTCATATTGCATCTTGATGTCGGGAATAAAACTCAATTAACACATCATGGTGCACAGCCATGTTCCTTCACAGAGCAGCAGAGGTGTGTCCAGCAGGTCAGCCTGCAGTGGGACAAGTTCTGAGAACTTCTGGTAACTGGCACCAAACTCCACTCAGTGTAAATGCCCTCACTGGCTGCACTGTTGAGCCTCTCTGCCCAGAGCCAGTGTCCAGCGTGCATCACTGCAGGCCAAGGAAGTGGTTTGAAGGCACATCCTCACATGGTGCTCTGCTGACTTTAAGGCATTTACTCTTCTACATCTAAACTGGATCCACCACCAAAGCTGAGCAGATGTTCAGTCCGCTGCTGGTTCCTGTAGAGTCCAGCCTGCAGAGGACCACCCAGTAAAACGAGGCTAAAACCGCATCAGACAGTCCCGGTCTGGTCACGTGAGGGCGCTCAGCTGCTCCAGGTGAGGCAGCAGCTCCTGGGCGCTGGGTCTGCAGCGGGCCTCTCCGGCCCAGCAGCGGCCCAGCAGCGTCCCGCACAGCCGGCCTCTCTCCGAGCGGAACACGTGGTGCTGCTGGATGGACGGCCGCAGGTTGTGCGCCACCACCGCGTAGAGGACGTGCTGCCGGTCGCCGCTGTAGGGCGGCTCTCTGGTCAGCAGCTGCCACAGCGTGATGCCGAAGGCGAAGATGTCCGCTTTGGGAGACACCGCCTCGCCCTTCAGCAGCTCCGGCGCGCGGTGCGTGTACGTCCCGCAGACGTGGCTCATGCGCGGGCTGGTGGCGCTCACCTCACAGGTACCGTCCAGCTTCAGGGAGCAGCCGAAGTCGGCGATCTTGCAGACGTCTTCACTGGACACCAGCACGTTGGCGGGCTTGATGTCCAGGTGCACGATGCGGTGCGCGTGGAGGAAGCTGAGGCCGTGCGCGATGTCCGAGGAGTACCGGAGCCACCGGTCCTCCGCGAGCTGCTCCGCGTCCCCGTAGATCAGCTGCTGCAGACTCCTGCTCCCCACGAACTCCATCAGGATGGTTCCGATGCTGCTTTCGTCTCCGAACACCTCGGGCACGCCGGTGGTGGCCGCGATGACGCGCACGATGTTGGCGTGGCGCAGGTGTGCCGCGTTGAGCTCGGCCCAGAAGCTCTGCCAGGAGGCCAGCTTGTTCTTGGTGCACTTCTTCACCTTCTTCAGCGCCACCGTCTCCCCGAAGTACTCCGCCTTGTAGACGGAGCCGAACCCTCCGGAGCCCACGGGCTCCACGGCGCGCAGCTGCTCCCAGTGGATCACGGCCGACCAGTGGCGGCTGGACACCTTGTCGTAGAGCCGCTGGGCCGGGACCTGCAGGCTGGAGCCGTGGGAGAACTTGGTGAGCGGGCTGCTGCAGGTTCCGAGGTCCACGGACAGGTACACGTCTCTGGGCAGCAGGCGGCTCACGGGGATGGGGGACGGCATGGCGGCCCGTGGAGGAGGTCTGCTGCTGACTGGAGACCGGCTCCAGTCTGAAGGCTTTTCAGCTGCTCGTCTCTCTGGTTTGTGTCAGCGAGCTGCAGCGCCCCCCTGTGGTGTGGAGGATGTACTGCTTCCTGTTTGGGTTCAACGGGTTCAACGCAGTCTGATGGAGGGAGGTCGGGAAAGCAGGCTTTTTGTTTTTTTCATTCTGTGCGACTAAAACAGGATGATATTGATGAACAGAGTGAGCAGGCCGCGGATACCTGATCACAAGCAGCTTCAGGGGACACGGAGGGTTCACAGGCCCTGTTGGTCCTCCAGCATCCAGGAGGAGATCAGAACCCACCAGCTTGTTCAGATAATGATCAGAATCAGATACTAATCATCCAGGACAGCATGTGTTCATGATAAACTGTGTCTGTGTTTTTTCTTTTGTGGTTTATTTAATTAAGTGATTTATTTTCTGAGGGAGCTCCATGTCAGGATCATGAAGGTTACAGGACTTCTTTCAGTGCTTTAGAGTAATATTTTCAGTTTTTTGCTAAAAACAATAAGTTTGCATAAAACTTTATTGCTAATAATAACAAAGAACAACAAGCCAACACTACTGTGGGTGAACCAGTGTTTCTAAAGTCGCTGTAAGTTAAAAAATGTAGAAGTTCTCGGTAGTGAGTTCCTCCTTCAGCGTTCCTCTCCTCTGCACAGCAGTGATTCTCCACTAACAGTTAACCTGCTGTGTTTTGTTGTTCAGTAATTTTAACATCATGTAAATGTTGATGGTAGTTTAAAGCGTTTGATGCTCTGCTGTATCTCGACCCATTTGTCCAGAACTTTGAAATCATTTGAGATTATCCAGAATCACTCACTGGGACACATAAAGACAGACAACAAGCGCAGAAATGAGTTAGTTTACAGTGTCATAGTTTAAATGTGAGTCACTGACATCTCACTGGAGCTTTTATCATGTTACCTGTGAGGCTGATGGCTCATGGAGCTGGAATAGACTCCTACACAGTGAGCAGTGCTTCTGGGAAGGAATGGAAATCGTCTTGTCATTTTGATGTCCATCCATCCATCGTCTATACACCGTTTAATCCTCATTAGGGTCGTGGGGGGCCGAGACTATATCCCAGCTGACTCAGGGTGAAGGCAGGTTCACCTGGACAGGTAACCAGTCTATCACAGGGCTACACTTAGAGACAGACAACCAAGCACACTCACATTCACACCTACGGACAATTTACAATCACCAATTAACCTCAGCATGTTTGTGGACTGTGGGAGGAAGCCGGAGAACCCGGAGAGAACCCACGCTGCACGGGGAGAACATGGAGACTCCACGCAGAAAGATCCCGGGTGTCCTCACCGGGACCTTCTAGCTGCACCTTGAAGCCCTGATTTTGATGTGTTTTTTGAAATTAGCAGCAATTTTTAAAAAACTGACATCCACTTATGAATACATACTAACGTCCCCAGGACCTTAAATCTGACATGAATCTGACAGCACCAGCCAGATCTGTGACTGTCTGATCCCTTGGTTCACTTCATATTGTTGATTGTCAGCTAACTGGACAGAAACAGCTCACTGCTATGAATGGATCAGATGTTCTGTTAAGTTACTGGTGACCAAGTGACTCGGTGTGAGCTCATCGAACCACTCGATGGACCCACTGGTTTGTGTAGGAGCACAACATACAGACACAGTTACTGCGAATGAGACATCTGAAGGAATCACCAAACAGAGCGGCAGTTGGATCCTTCTCTTATGTTTATTGAACTTTCATTACATTGAGTAAAAACACTGGAGTTGTCGACTGCAGCTCTCCTCTCTCATAGCAGCAAAGTATGTGAATCAGATCAGGTTATTCTGCCAGACAATAAATAATCTGCTTCTTTGGATGATGTCAAGGTTTTAAAAAACAACAGATAAAAGTTGCAGCATTAATATTTATTTTTACACAACCTATGAACACATACATATATATTTACTTATATATATGTGATTTACTTTGCCTATACTTTTTAAAAAATACAACAGTAGTTTGTAAAATAAACTTGAAGTAAAATATTGAGAATTTGCAATCTATCATTGTCACAGGATGGCACTGGTAAGATCCAACAAGAAGCAAAACCAACACAGCTGGAATGCAGTTCACTTCTGAGCCCGGTCAGCTCACTTTGAATGGCATCGCGCAGTCATGTCGTCCTGTTTCTCAGCGTCAGCACCGATGTCTTCGTCAGAGCAACCTTCCAACATGACTCAGTTTCCCAATATCACGACGCGAGGCGGCGCGTTTCTGGGCTTCTCGGGGGGGGGAGGCATAATATTACAGGCAAGTCTGTAAAAAGACTACAAAAGTCACAGTACAATAAAAATATATGTCGCTATATAGTACAACCAGGCACACACGCATGCCAACTGTTTAGCTAAACTGGATGCTTTGTACAAACGATACACTTAAGAACTAGAAAAGAGGTCTGTAGCACCGTAAGGAGCTTTAGAAGTATGTTAGCAGCTTGATCCAATACCAAAATATATTGCAGTATTGCAGTGTTTCTTACATACACATTCAACAAAGTTCACTGGTACCACTGAAGCTTATAAAGAAGTTTGACATGAACTGCAAAAGGCCTCTCAGCGAAGAGCGTCTCCCCACATTCTGCCTTCCTCTTCCTGGACAGTCTAGATTAGCTTTTGAGTTCTGAACTCGGTCCGATCCCAGACGTTAAACGTGGATCTCCTCGACTACTCTCTACAATGCAGAACTTTTTATTTTATTTTAAATTCTTTCAGCTTTGAGCCACAGTCGTTGCTTTTAATGTCCCCTTATCAAATCCCTAGATTCTGTCATACAGTCCATACAGGAGTCGTGTGTCCAGTTAGGATTGCGGCTAACTGATAAAACTTTGTGTTTATGCAACAGCGTTCAGACAGAAACCACTAAGAAGTCAAGTAATATGTTTTCATACTGTCACACTGACATCGGAGGAGGACAGAAGAGGAAACGAATCACCCCGGGAGTGACTGAACACATACTAAACAACCCATGGCAAGATGGTGGAATTAAGTGCTATGTAACTGTCCATCTGATCGTTGTCTGAGCTTTTACCTAAACCAGCGGCTGAATAGTCAGAGGCCATCCCAAAAACCCGGCATACAAAACTCTATGTTTAAAAGTACATCATTTGTTAATAGACCCCTCGATGAGTTACACAGAACACTTGTGCAAGTAAAGCAAAAAAAAAAAAAAAATGACACTTTGATAGGAAAAAACACTGTCAAAAATGTACCTGTAAAAATAGAACATTTTATGTTGTATTTACATGTTATTGTTCTCTAAAAGAGCTAAATATATCATCTATAAATTTTGTAATAAAGGTTTAAAACAGAGGGTATTGGAGGAAATAAAGGCATTCGATTTACAAAAAGTGCTATGATTACAAAAAAAAAAAAAAAGAGCGGCTTGCTAACATCTCTTGTAAAACCACAAACCTTCACACGGTACAAACACGTTTTCATAAATGCTTTGAAACACATTCAACTCTACATTTTACACAACACAGAAAAAAAACAAAACGTCGTCTCCATTCATGTCTCATCAAGTCCATTCAGGTGTCATTCAGGAAGGAAAAACTCGAGCTTAATACTTCTAGTTTAGCATTTTCTTGTCTGAATCTTGGAGCCCAAAGCGAGGAGCGTATGTGAGGTAAGTGATAACACTATTGGGTTGCGTCGGACATGCTGTGGAGTAACTAAGACGTTCTGCTGACTGCTGGGCTGGAAGGAGACTCCGTTCTTGCAGTTCACATTTTGTTTTGGATAGTGTGCAGTCTGGTTTCTCAGATAAAGGACGAGTTTCCAAACAGACGAAATGCGTTGTCTTGCTTAATGGAACCGTATACATCGGCTAACATCACCTTTGGGAGTTTTCATCCTTCAGTTACGTTGGTGGAAGGTTTGCTAAAGAACCCTTTATTTACAGAAGAAGCCAGATAGTGACGTTCAGTCTTGACCTTGTGAACAGCAGTTTGATGAAATAACGTTAAATAAAGATCTGCTCGGGCTTCGTGGGGCTTTTGAAACACCCGGTTTGTTCATGGTGAACAGGACTTTGGTCATTTGATGAGCTTTAAATATCAAATGTTGTTTGAAGGTTCACTGAAACGGAATTTGACGCCAGCTCACCAAACTATAGGGATCATGAAAAATCCTGACACTCTACTCCAGATCTTTTACTTTGGAATTTTGGCCTCATCAGTCCCTTTATTTTCAATGTATGATGGTCTCTGGGTCGATGCGGGGAAATCCATGAAACCCTGACAGCAAACTAAAAACTAGTTGGAGAATATTTTCCAATCATCCAATCAATGATGAATAATTTTCGAGATAAACAAATGATCTGCAGTTTTCTACGATTGTCATGTTGAACATTCTGGTAGATTAATCAACTGGACCTGCTTGAGTTCCTTGAAGACGTTCCACCTCTCATCCAAGAGGCTTCATCAGCTCTGACTGACTCGGGGTTCGTTTGGTGTGAACTGAAACTCAGGAGTTAACGTCTCCTTCAGGATATCTGGAACTCCCAACTAGTCAGTCAGAGCTGATGAAGCCTCTTGGATGAGAGGTGGAACGTCTTCAAGGAACTCAAGCAGGTCCAGCTGCTATGATTAATCCACGAGAAGAACCAGGACCTGGAGAATCTCCACAGACATCGTGTTGGACAGTTTTCACTTTCTTGCAACTAAATTCTGACTCTGTGGTATTAATACGGTGCTTTAAGTCAAATGTTGAGGTCGTAGTGGTCGACGGTTAATGTTCATCCGATATTCAAGTATTCATTCACACACAAACAAAACAAACACAAACTGAAAATACACGTCTGATGAAGCTGAATTTATGGCAGAGCTGCTGTATTATTGGACTCTATCGTCTCTAGAAGTCGTGTGGTCCTGCTTAGCACAGATAAATACAGCTCAACAGAACCTCAGCCGGTTCTGGAGGGTATTCTGACCGATTAGTACTATTTCCAATTCATTAAAACTTCCTTTTAAGGATAAAATGTTAATGTTCAGTGCAGATATATAAAATCGAAGCATAATTCTTTTGCACAAAAGAGTGAAAAAAGCTTTGTAGTCATACTTTATATAAATACGACACAGAGTCAAAATGTTGTAGCAAGAAAGTGAAAAGTGGAGGCAATGTGGATTTTTGAAAATGGAGGATTTGTTTGTTGGTTATTGTGATTAATTTACAAACTGTCCATAGAGTTTCCAGTAAGTCCATAAAGTGTTACGTGAGTGGGCGTAAAGGTTCTCTAGAAAGGTGGACCTCCCCCTCAGCTTTCATTCTGATCTGAGTCAAGACGGATCAGGTCAAAGGATGAGTCGATAGGATGATGAATCTGACATCTGATGTCAGCTCTCAGCACAGATTTGAGGATTCAGTGCTTCACACATTAACTGGATAAGAACTAGAAACCGGAACAAGGCAGACGCTGTGATCTGGGTGTTAATCTGATTTCCTACACAGCCCTCAGCAGAGAAACCAAACTTTCTGTTCAATAATAAAATTAAATCTCTTCATAGATGCTTACTGCTAAATAAGAACTTTTTCTCCCACAATTTGCAAAAAGGAACGCTCCTGTATCTGAGGTCATAAGTGATGCTAACCATTCAATGCAGAACGACATTTATAAAAAATCTAAATATACAACACAGTTAATGGAGGTAACAGGGGTCGGCGATGCGTCAGTGCTAACCGTAGTTTACTCTCTTATTCTGTTTACAGAGATATATGCCGAACTTCAAAAGGTCAGATTATTATTACATGTATTCTGTATGTTTGTTCCAACACGTCACTGAAGGTGTGACGCTTATATTCAAAACCAAGACTCAATGTTTTTAATGGCAAAAGAAAGACTAATCCTAGTGCATCTTTCTATCATGCAAATACTTTAAAATGTTGGAATTACAAACAGAATATATAATAATAATAATAACTGACAGGTGATGCTAGTGGATGTTACTGTCATGGTTACGCGGCTAACGATGGTCATAAACACACGTGTGCATCTGTTTTAACACGGCTGGTATGTGAGCCATTTCTATGCTTTGATTTTTAAACGGCAGCAGATAAAGTTCTGCATTTAAGACACCAGTTGGGTTTGGATATGATTTAGTCGAGCAGTAAGGCTTGCGGCGTCATGCGATGTTGGAAAAGGTTTTAAACGTGTGTCTTTGTGGACCGATGGAGGCACTGAGGAGTCTGCAGCGTATCGGAGGTAACGTGGAACTACTGCTCATTGATTCCCTTCCCTATCAATGGCAAACATCACTTCATCGGCTGTCAAGACCTGCTGGGCAGAGCGGCGCTGCAACGCGAAGCATCATCGTTACTCTCAATCCCTCAATTAACAAACGCCTACTGACAAGGCTGCGTGAGAAGGAAGTCTCTTGGCGGTTTGGTTGGAGGTGGAAGCTGCAGAAACGGCAAAAAAAAGAAAAAAGAGAAAAAATATCAACAGTTTAAGGGTGTGTTATGAGCTTTTGATCAAATATATATGTCATATGCTAATTGTCTGAGTTGCAGATGTAGTTCATGAAGAAAACACCTTCACCTCCTTCTACAGATGTCTGTCCACTCTGGTGGCTTTGTTTAGCCTCCACCGCACCAGAGGAAGGAATACAAACTGAAATTCATTTTGGGAGCTCAAAGCATCCAATTTTTCATTAGAATTGAACAAATTCAACGTCCCAGTGACTGAGGACGCTCCACACTGTCAGCAGCGATCGCTCTGACAGCCACGTTTTAAATGAACACGTCTAACTATGTTTGTGGATCTGATGCCTGGATGATGCCATGCCAGGGTTTTTTAAACGTCGTTTTTCCAACCAGACAAGAACGTTAAAGACTAATACTGGACAATTATGATTCATCCTTTCTACGGTTTCTGTGCAGGACAACTTTGGTACAGTTAAGGTTGATATCCAACTGGCAGCAGGTCTGTAAGAGAACACAGCTCAACCTCCCCACCGCTACCTTCTGCCTCTCAACGTACAGCACATACCTGCTGGATGTAAAGCGAGGTGTGGAACCCCCCAAATCAAATCCAAACTATGTGCACGGCTAGACACGGCACTACGGTAGTGTTGTTGGTGAGTCTTGGGCATCAGGGTTTTAGGATCCTCACCCCCGAGCAGCTAAAACCTCAGCCCAACACATTTAACTGTAGTTAAGAAAATATTGGTTTACAAACTTCAACACCAACACGTCGACCTTAAGAGAGTGAGCTGAGCTGATACGACTAAAAGGTGTTTCTGAAAACACCCGAGGTCATCAATAAGTGATGCAGTTTATCTTATTGCATCTTATCTTTAATCTGTCTTTTATTTTCTGTTTGTTCAAAAGTTTTTCGAGACAAACGGGATGAAACCGATTTGCATGAAACAGTCTAGACATCATGCAAATGAGGAGGAGCTTCGAGCTCAGTGGGCCTCATCGGAAACGTCTCCAAACGTGGCGTTCTGCTCTCATGCACGGCCACAATGGCAGCACACAAAGAGGGCAGGTAGAGACTGTTTGACCGATGCAATGGGTTATTGTTGACGGCGGGATGGCAACGGACTGATGGCAGCATTATCTGAGGATGCTCACTGGCTGGTCATCGTAACACCACCACATACTTGCTTTTCTGAAACATTCGGCTAACGTAGCGCTTCTGCTGGTGTTGCTGCAGTTCGCTTTATATTCATATTTCCTTTTCAAAATCCCATTGTTAACGGTGGGTTTGCCTCTATAATGCAGCACAGTGCTAATGACAGCTGTGTCCATGTAACTGTCAAATGGATCTGATGCAAACTTTTGAAATGTTTAAAAAAAAAAAAGAAAATGAGGCGTGTTTCCATGAGCTAACAAACTGCAGTCTGGTCTACAGGATGCACGGCTGTAACAACCAGAGTAGAAGAAGCTGAAAGTAAAAGCAGTTGTTTGCTAGTCACCAAAAAACAAACAAACAAACAACCTAAAAGAGAAAAATGCAAAGAGGTCCGAGGAGTTGTTCTTAAGGCCCAGGTTCTGATGATTCTTTCATTTCAGCTGGTATCACACAGGTTTCATGCTATTCCAACACATTGGCCCAATCCCATGATCCTCCCTGAGGCTTAAACACTAAACCCTCCGAGACTTAACCCACGTCGCGGCCGCAGTGGGTCGTTCATGTGGGTTTCAAATGGTATAAAAAGGAGGAACGGGACGCAGTGCATCATCGTTTAAGATCAAGTGAATCTGGACTCGTGTTTTATTCGCAGTTTGATCGGCGTTGGGGACTCGTTTCAAAGTGTGGTGACTTGTGAGATAAATCCTCACCGCATCAGAACTAGTTTGAAAAATGGGTTTCCATCTCCTCTTATGTACATTTACTCTTTTCCAAAAACATCAAGAAGCCCCTCAGACCAGCGTAAAAACTTTTTTGCAAAGTTTTTTTTGTCCAAACTGTAAATAAAAACACGTCTGATGTTGTAATTATACTGTTCTCTCTCAGCCCTCAAATGACTTTTCTGAGGTCTCCAAAAATACATACAGCCGTAAATAAAAGTTTACATTGACTGTATGTTTATCACGGCAGTTTTGAGTTTCCGCTACAACTCCAAGAGCAACTTAATCAAACTTTCTCGGTAGCAGGACGTCTGAACTTCTTACGTGATTACGACTGTCTCCAGCTGCTGACTTCTCTGAGCCGATTGAAATAAGGTCCATTTGATGCATTCATTAGCGTCAGCCACAAGCACCACAGTGGGAAAGTCAGACTACAGATCCATCACGACAGTCACTTGGAGCCACGTCAAAGAAGCTTCAGATCCAAAATCAACTGGACAAACAAGTATCACTGTCAGGAAGAACATGTCAAGTAACCTGCTGCCGAAAGACAGATGGTCAGAACTCAACCAAGAATCACCAAACAGCAAGTCTGCAATGAACTAGAACCTGCTGGAACACAGTCAAGCGTGTTTTACATCACCATGGGCTGAGAGGCTGCTATGCCAGACAGAAGCCCTTCCTCCACCTTAAAGCTCGACTGAAGTTTGCTGCTGGTCACACAGACGAAGAAAAGCCCTACAGGAGGAACCTCCTGTAGCCAGCCGAAACAAAAACTTAACTATTTGACCACAATGACCATAAATATGTTTGGAGGAGAGAAGGTGATGCCCTGAACCCCGATAACACCAAACCTACCGTCCAGTGTGATGGTGGTGGTATCGTAGCCTGGAGTGATTTAGTGCCAATGAAGGTTAATGGAACAATGAAGGAGCAGGAGGAGGATTATCTCCACATGAATCATCAGCTAGAAGGTTGAGTTATGGATGTGGTTGAGTGTTTAACAACAAATAGGAGAGAAACAGCTAAATCAGGCTAGGATTAAGGGTATCGGCTGGTCCCCTAAAGTCCTGACTTAAACCCCATCAAGAAGAAGAATAAAGTCTAGATCAGAACAAATTTTGTGAATTCTTGAATGAACAACTAAAGCCGACTAGGAGCAGCCCTGACGAGGATCTTTTCAGATCGCTCCACACAGAGGGAAGAGTTGCATTTTTGTGTGTCATGGTTCAGATTTTAACTTGTTCACTCTGATACAAAGGATGCTGCATGTTTGGTGCTGAGACATGAAGGGGGGATGATAGCCCTTGCTGCCAGCTCACTCTCTCTGATGGTCTACACCGGTGAGGTTTGTGGGATGGACATTTTTACGTTATCTCAACACTCTACACTAATATTTGGCACGTAGCAGCCATATTGGTTTGTGTTTAGTGGATTTGATCTGGGGTGGGGATGACCAACAGTTCTACCAACTACCTGCTCCTTACTTCCTACTCAGCACCTTCGTCATAATTTGGGTGAACCTCATTATTTCTACGTGTTTTAGTTCTATTGTTTACTACTGATCTGATGAACTGATTCTGATCCTGTTAAAAGAAAAGAGGAGATGCTGGTCCTTTAAAATCCTTCTGCAACTAAAGAAAACAACAAAGGTCAGCTGGGACAACATCATGAAGTGTTTCACGACATACACATGTAAGATCTGCACACTGAGACCGATCTGCTGTAAAGCACTGCGGTTCAGTAAAGACAAGTCACAGCAGTCTGACTACTGATGTCATTCATTTATGTGAAAGTTCTCCAATGCACAAAAGACTAAATTATGTTTAAACTGGCACAGCTATGACTGTCACTGCTCAATAATGCCCACACTGCTGTAGTTTTTACTTTGGCTGAAGACGACAGCTTGTGATGCAACTAAAGATCAATACTCTCGTCTTCATGTGACGTCTTTTCTCTCCGGAAATCAGGAGTTGGGAGACGTAGAACCTATGAATTTGGAAGAGTATACGGAGGCATTGTCCTGCTATTTTAGGAACATTATGGCGGTGGAGACTTGCCAATTTGTCATTAAAAAGCTTGTTATGCCAACAGTAGCCGTCAGGAAGCTGATTAGGGCGACTGCAGTGAGGAGGTGTGTTGCTGTCTGCTGCTGACAGTCCAGATCATCATGTGTGTCCTGCAGGGTTAGCGTCTGGTCATGTTATCGTATTAAACGGTTAGAAATATCTTCATACGTGTATTCCTGGAGTCTGGTTTGGTTGTCTATCTGCTGGTGTGGATTTGTAACCCCACGTGTGTGTCAGTGTGTTTGAGTGCAAGTGTGCCAAGCGCAGTACATACTGGGTCACTGAAAAGCTTGGTGGAAGCGGGGCAGTGTGGTGGGTGTGCTCAGGTTGGATATGAAGGAGGAGGGGAGCCCTTGAAGTGGACTCTCTGCAGCTTCTGAACCTGTAGGGGCCTGGGGGGGCAGCTGGACAAGAGGTGTGGGCTCTTCATTGGGTGGAAAGGTGATACCCTGTCCCCCGCTACCTCCTACCTGATTGTATGGAGGCCCATTGAGTGGCAGGAAGTTGAAAAGCTGTGAGAAGTCCATTAGAGATGAAGATGAGGCCAGAGAGTCGCCCACAGTGACTGCCACTGAGGTGGACATTTTTGACAGGGACACCTCCTCGCCTGCTTCCTCCAGCACACCAACTTGAGGCACCAACTCAAGTTTGGAGGAGGAAAGTTGGGGTTCTTGGGCTGCAGAGGACGAGGAAGGCATGCTGCTCTGCAGCTCCATCAGGTAGGTCTCCAAGTCTCCCTTAAGATTCTGCTCCCGCTCCTGTGAGGAGACCGTGTATGAGGTATAGTTGGAGCCCAGAGGATACTTTAAAGAAAACGGGTGTGTGGAGGTGGGGAAGGGCTCTGTGTCCAGGATGGGGCCTGTGTACATGTTGAGCTGGTGTGGCCTTGGTGTCAGCATCCCTGGGAGCTCACCCTTGATGCTCCCAGATGCCAAGTCATAGACAATGGGCTCCAGCGAATCCGCTGGCTCTGTTTTTACTCTCAGCAGCTCCCGGGCGTGGCTCTTTTTCACGTGACGTGTCAGGTGGTCCTTCCTACCGAAGCGCTGGGCACAGTACTGACAAAGGAAGTCCTTGCGTCCAGTGTGCACCACCATGTGGCGCCGCACATCTTTCCGGGTGTAAAATCGTCGCTCGCAATGTTCACAGCGATGCTTTTTTTCTTTGGTCCCGCCAGAGGACTTGCCAGCATGTGTTTTGAGGTGTTCCAGCAGAACCCCAGTGCTGGGAAATGGCTGCAGGCACACTTGGCAGGTGAGGTCTCCACTGTTGGCGGCATGCAGGGCAAGGTGGCGTTTGAAACCCAACTTGGTGTTGTAGCTCTTGCCACACTCCTGGCAGGTGAAAGCCTCCTTGTGTGGGTCGTGAGTGTGTAGATGATTCTTTAAGTGATCCTTGCGGTGGAACATTTTCTCACAGTATGAACACTTGTGGTTTTTTTCTGGCGAGTGAGTTGCCATATGCCTTGGAACACAGATACATTCTATGAGCACTCAGAATTGTTGCAATCAGGTTTAAAGTTGGCATGCTTTACACATAAACACAAGAGCTGAAAACTAGTAGGCATCAACACATCATTCTGATTACTACACATCACTATGTTACCAAAAGTGCAAAGAGATAAGCAACATGCGGCAGCCTGCTATGAACTGCTGCTTGTCTGTACCGTAGCAGCTTGTATTTGGAGACGAAAGCCTTGGTACAGTCAGGGTGGGAGCAGCGGTAAGGTCTTTCTCCTGTGTGTGAGTACGAGTGCACCTTCAACTTCTCCAGACTGTTGAAAGCTTTCTGACACTCCTGGCAAGGGAAGTTCTTCTTCGGCTTCCCTTCTGCTCTTCTGCGCCTCCCCGTGAACGGTGCGAGCTTGGCTTTCTCCAGGACGTGGTCACGGTGGTCCTGGGTTCCCGTGGCCATGGCACCCTAAGGCAGACCAGCTACACTGACGGGGGCACGATGCCCGACTAGGACTGTTGCAGTTGTTTTATCCAGTTTTATGTGTTCAACACCGCCCGGACTCAGGGCTCTGAGAGAGACAGAGAGACAGAGAGATCATCAGAAAGGTTTAATAAACAAACACTTTTGAATTAATCTGGCTTTCTCTGGGCTGCCTGTTGTCACTGGTGATCCTACCAATGGTGGCTGTTCTCAATGCAACACGAGTTCAGATGATGGCGACTGCATTGGTGCAGCAGTCGTGATGCTCTGAGAGCACACAACTAGAGTTTAAAGCTACACATACACCAGAAATGAAGCCAAACAATAGCCATCATTAGCTAGAAATACATTTGGTATTTTCAGAATGCTCACAGTCTCAGAGTAGTTCTGCTTTAACGTGATGATGAATCGGGCGGCGCTCCAACAGTCAACCAGACATTAGCTGATGATTGATGAGGAGTCTTAGTTGACCGTGTTTTGATTGGTCGATTAGTCGTAGTAAAAACGTAAACTCCACAGGAAGTGAAATCACTCGATCAGTCACGGACAGAAATGCTCCTTTACATGCTGTAGTCCGTGTAGGAGCTGGATAGTAATGTCATATGTCGGCCAGGAAATCCAAAACGTGGGATCGTTTTAAAGGACGACTCCAAGGAGACGAACAAACTCATGGTCCAGTCTCATAACACACACCCAGCGTGCTCCCATGTGCAGCAGGACACACAGAGAGGGCAGGTACAGAACCAGACCGGCCCAGTAAACACTGACTGGTGGCTCATATAGTGTCTGTGGTGGCTTATGGAGGACACCACAGCGCTCGCTGGTCAACCTGAGGCCACTGTGTGTCCAGGCTTATTAAGAAGATGTTCAGGCTCCTTGCTTTTTTTTCCCAACACATTCAGAATATTTAGCCTACAACCTTTGTCGGTGTTGCTGCGGTGCACATTGTGCATGTGCTTGTAATATGTATATTTTAAAGACTCATGACTCATGCTGCAGTTATGTATTTCTCTGCAATACAGCGCTCACAACCTTAGACTGCTCAGAACATTCTCTCTCAGTCCAGGAACTCCAATAATTTCCTGATGCCCCCCAAAGGATCTATACTCAGGTAATTAAACTAATATCATAAACGTGTGACAACCGATTGACTCGCGGACAGAAATCATGATGACGGTGAATCTTTGGTTTGGAGCAACCGTAGTGATGAACCGAAATCGTTTGTTGAAATCTGTAATTGTCGTTTTAGTTCTTTTTTTTCCTTGATATGTTCTTAAAAAGCCAAAAACACTGTTGTCTGTCTGCTGTGCATTTACACCCTGATCCAGCCTCATTCCTTAAACAGTCTAACATAGTTACAGAACTGTACCAGTACTTTTTGAATGTTTCCCATTTACTAAAAAATACCAGCAGGTTTAATGGTTGTTCTGGTTGGTCTCACATTCTGTGGTCACCAAGATGAAGCTATGAGACAAAGTCCAGTATCGGGAAGAGAAACAGCAACTGAACCGGTGCACGACCCGACAACGAGACGAGCCGCCGTCCTGAAGACAGCAAGAGGTCGACGTTTTCATCGAGGCAGCAGGTAATGCTCACTGACAGAACTCTGTGACTCCATTTCCTGTAACTGCTTTACAAAAAATAATCGACTTCTAATGTATTAAAGCAACAGGAACCTTATGCATCAACAGGAGTTTCACAGTGACACACTTTTAACTGAACTGAACACCCTAAGATTCAATGTTTGGCCGATAAAGATCATTACTGCAGCAGTTTTCATAAAATTATGCTCAACCAGCACCCACACCGAGTTAGGGGAATCAGCTTTATCTCTACAATCAACAGTATTTTTATTTACTCGTCTGAACCAACTGAAACTGTCCAGGTCCGTTAAGGGAGACGAGGTGAACTGAAAAATTTAAATTAAGTCACCAAACATTAAACCAAAATTAAAATGAAATCAACCAAAGAAGGGTTGAGTTTAAATCACACACGATATCACGCTGACGTTATCGCCAGTATTATGACGTCAACCCAACCAATAAAAATAATGTTTGCAGTTTGAGAAGTTTATTTCAATCTGTGGATTTATTTTATTTTATTTTTTACATGCATTTATTTAAGTGCTGGGAACCAATAATACTGACGATTGAGTGTAATTGTCCCTGACGGCGTTCTAATATATGGATTTCAGAAAACATAATTAAAGACACTATGGAAGGTCATCATTTAAAAACGACGTCAACATTCTTCTCCAGCGTTATTAAGACGACCAGCTTTCTCTAGATTCAACAACAGAGTCTGAGCATTCTAGACACAACCAGAAAACAGTTTTTTGTGCTTTATGTTGCACAGATAGATAAAATAAGTAAAAAGAAAGTGAATCAAGACATTTCAGCAGCTGCGTGACCAACACACACACATCCCAACATCTCCACATGGTTGTAAGGAGTTAAACACAAAGCAGAGATCTTACAGTCTGACAGCAGGAGCAAGTGGTTGGATTTATCCAGAACACTCGTTTATCTACTCAGACATGGCTGTGAGCTACCATCCAGCCTGATCTTTGGTTTCAGCCCAAGGACACACGTGGGACGTGAACAAGAGGAGGCGGAGATCAAAACAACAACCCCAAGATCTCCATCTGGAGTCACATCTACCCAAGACAGGCAAGACATGAGGGTAAATATTAAAATGAATAATCTTAACTTCAGAGCACGCTGCTCTACCGACCTGCTTGCTCACCGTGAATTTAATTGGAAAGTGGTTTTCATTATTGTTTATGAACACGTAGAACCAACAGAGACCAGAACCAACAGCTACTGGACCAACATCCAGTTCTGGTGAGTTTAACCAGTCAGCACCACACAGCTGCTTATTAGAGGGACAACGATGAATCAATTTATCGATTAGTTGTCAACTAATTAATCAAATATTCCAACAATCGATGAATCAGTTTGAGTCTAAACTCTGTGGTTTCAGCTTCTTCAGTGTGAATTCTTTCTGGTTTCTTTCCTCTGTGACGGTAAACTGAAGATCTTTGGAGACATTTGAGGAAACTCTGATCCACATTTTTAAACATATATTTCTGAAAAAATGTTAATAATGAAATCACTAAATAATCAAATAATATTTGCAGGTCTTTAGTAGTTTATTGTCTAAGACTGATTATCAGATACTTGGATGAAATTCCTTCACAGTTGTGCTTCGTTGTCTTCCACTGAGTTTAATGTGCAGCAATTTGAATTATAGGAAAGTCAGAAGAAATAAAGTTGTTATGGAATAAACTAGCACGAGTCATGACGTCCACTGTTATGGATTGATTGTGAACGGATTCTTTTTAAGCTGAATTTCATCTTCTGTAGAGTTATTGGGAAACAATGGCTGCTTGAGAACGATGAAAAAACACTGAATCAGGATGTTTTGTTAAAGAGGCGACGGTGACAGCTGGACAGACATTAAACTAAAGTTTAGATGTATTCAGTGTTACTCTGTACCAGGTTATATTCTGTACTGGTAGCTCATGCAGAGGATGTTCTGCATGCTGGTAAAATGCTGGGATTGAGTTAATAAACACATTAATTGTCCATTTAATTTACATGATTCATAACACAGACACGTGTGGATAACACCGTAGATCTTAAGTTTATGTTAAGTTTTTGTTTATGATTTTTGTTTTTTTTAAATGGCTTAAATATACCAAAAAATAAAAATAAAAAAACACACGTGTTTGAATTACACTCATCTGATTCTGTGGTATTGCTGATATATTTATCCTGATTCACTTGATCATCAGGAAAACTTCCTCGAACTAATTCCTGCAGGTCGGTCAGACGAGGCTTTTAAAGGACGAGATGATGACAGAGGACTCCACGACCAGCTGATGGTTCACAGTACATCAGTGACCACACTGCAAGTAATCTGGGACCTGCCAAGATTTAAAATCTTATTTTTTGATACGACAGATAATTTGGCTTGTTTTAAAAGTTATTTTCTCATTTTTTAGTCCCTGATTTTACAGCATTAAAAATCCTATTTCAAGATTTGTTATCAAGTAAAATGTACTTGCTGCATGGACAGATCATTTCACTAGTTTTATATAATTTTCTTCTCATATTTAGTGTTTATATCTTATATTTGTGCTGCCCTTTTTTGCAGTGCACTTCATCCTGCTTCGTTCACAGTAATTTATTCTAAATAATCAGAGGTTAGAATTTTGACAAATCCAACTTTGACATATCAACAAAAATATCTTCAGCAAAAAGCTGAATGATTTCATTTTCATACCAACTCTTAATTAAATCATAATCACAACATATTTCAGAACGTTGTCTCAGTAAGAAGTCAGTGTTGTACCATTTGTAAGAATTCTTAGAACATTATTGTGATGACTACACTCAACATATTCTGCATATAATCTTCATTTTCACATTTAACTTTATGAGCTAAAGATTCAAACAAATAAAATAAGAGCGCACGAAAACTGAAAGTTGTAGCAGAATAACAGACAAAAATAAGTAAACGCATAAAAAACATTTATACAGAAATAAGCAAAGCAGAAGGCTCAGGATCAAAAGCAAAAACTTAATTATGTCCTCAAATAGCATCAGCTGATTGTAACAGGCCACAGCAAACGAATTTAGGTTTTACAAACATCCATGACTAATAATGGGAATACATTAATTTTTAATACAAATGTCAAGAATATTGTGAAAGCTTCACTTCCTAATGAGGATGAAGTTAGACCCTCACATGCACTCCCTCCATCTTCATTAAAACAGATTTAATTTTCTGCAGCCTGAAAAGCAGCAGTTTTATTTTTTAGCTTCAACAACATTTAAAGTCTCACATTTAGTCACAGCTGCTCTGGTGCTGCTCACACAGCAGCTCACATCCATTCACTCAGTCCAACTCATAGAACAGTTCTACACCTTATCTCTGGTTAAAGGTACCAAACAGAGACCTGAACCACCACTGACACACACTTCCTCCATACGGAACCGGGTCAGAACCAACAGCATCTCCCCAGCAGGTCTGCAGTGGAGGAGGCTCCAGCTCTCAGAGCTTCTGCACAGCGACAGGAGCAGATCAGCTAAATGTGAATTAGCGTGCAGAGAGCAACCTGCCCCACGCAGCAGATGTTCACCAGTGGAGCGTAAAACAACCAAACAAACAAACAGCAAACAAACAGCCGGGACGCAGGCGGACCACTCTGAAGCGTCGCCTAATTAGTTTGCCTCAACTTCTCCCTCCATTTTGCTGCCTTATTGACAAGCAATTTCATCTTTGTGTCCGGCGGCTGTGCAGCGAGCTCTCCTCCGTGGGTCCATACCTGCAGACACGGCGTGCAGAAGTGGACCCGTCCGAACCCACGGCAGCCGCCACACGGTTCATCTGGCATCTAGCGTAGATGCTTGATTCGATAAGGATGTGTTTACATGTGATGAAGTGTGTGTGTGTGTGTACGTGTGTATGTGTGTGTGTGTGTGTGTGTATGCGTGTGTGTGTGTGTATGCGTGTGTGTGTGAGGCACAAACGCGTGTGAAGGCAGGCGGCTGGAAAAGTGACATTACTTGTGAATTCAAGAGCGCCTGTTGCCGACGAACCGCATCGCACTGGCGCTGTTAATATTTAAAAAAATAAAAATAAAGTGAGGAGGCTGTGTTCAACTTTGCTCAACTTTCCTTTACTCTGCGGGTTCCTCAGATCTTTAATGTTCGTGGACACGCACCGTGACACTATATCACCAATGACATAATTTATTTCTGGAAACTAACAATACTCGTGCCCTCCCTTGGTTTTCTCAGTGCTTCTAAACTGGGTACTGATTAACACAAACTTTTTCCCCCGCTCACCCCTCTCTCATAATTTAAATAACCCCGATATTTTAATTCAAGAACTGAGTAACCGTTTCCTTAATTTACATCAAACTTACCCCGGACGCTTTAACATCCTTTCTGTTGAGTTTTTCTTGACTTTCAACTATTTTCCGAATTTTTAATAATTTTTTTCTCATATTTTTTGCTAGACGCGGCGGGCCTGAAAATTGTTTGCTTTCTCCTCTTTCGAGCAGCCATTGTGTATGCGCTGCGATGCAACCACACTTGGCCTTAGCCACGCCCACACGAAGTCCCGCCCACTCGCGCTTTTTGATCGGTATCGGGCGCCGCCGCTTTCACTTCGGCATCACGTACAGTCCCTTTGGATACAACTCACATTTCGGACTTATTGGATAAACTGTCAACCGCTCCTATTTATTTTTGTCTATTTTGCAAAGATAGGAAGACAAACATGTCGGTCTTTAAATCCTATTGGCTCGTTAGCTTGTCAGTCTGCGTGATTAGTTTTCGGGGCTTCCTATTGGCTCACGCCGCTGTCAGTCATCGGTGACGGTGTGGCTGATTTTCCTGGTGCGCTGTTGCAGCAGAGTTGTGCTCAGTATGACGGCTAAGGGTGAAGCTAGCGACTCGTGTAGCCTTCTGAGGAAGCTGTATGTACTTTATAGTAGTTTATAGCTGTCTCGCTAGCGTTTTGTAGACCTAACATGTCATTTTGAGCAAAGCAAGAGGCAATAATCGTGCCGGTTATTTGGGAGTTTTTAACCGGGATAACCTTCACGTGTGTGGATACGAGGCGGTTGCACGAGTCATTAGCCTCCCGCTGGATTAAAGGTAATAAAAGGTAAGTACGGACGTTTGTGTTCAGATCCATAAAAGTACAGAAGTGGCTCCAATGTCTGGTCACATTAATGAAGGTCAACCTGGTGGGTTAAAGGGCAGCAGCAGCAGCGTTACATGTACAGAGGAGCGACCCAAACTAAAAAACAAAAAGACCACTGGTGTCTAGAAATTAAGATATTACCTCCAAAAAATAAACTTTATTGTCATCTGACTTTCATTTGAAATTTAGAAGAGGTGTGGCCACCTGAATATTACAGCTTTAAATCATAAATATGTGTTATAATGAGCCCAGTTTCATTTAAAAGTTCATTTTTTTCTAATAACAAAGTGCAGAAATCAAACCTGACAGTCAGGATTTTAGTTTATTTCCCGGCTGGTTGAGCTGTACTGTATAGAATATAATATAATATGGAAAGGATTACAGTAAAACACGTCTTAATGTTTTCTTGTTTGAGGATGTAAATAATTAAAATAGGTTGAAACACAGCATGACAGAGGATTTGATGTAATGTTTGCAAAACGCATCATTTAACCCTCAGGTGTCAAGTTTAAAAAGTTACACAAAGATCCTGAAGGACAAAAATGTACATATATTATATATTAATATGATTGGCAACTTAGTGGAGTTTGATTTTTTAACCAACACACGTCTCCATCAGTACCACCAAATATTTGTATGATTTTAATCCTGTACATGCCTGTTTGTTTACATCATGTCACGTTAGTTTTTTAGGTTTTTTTAATGAAAAACTAACGTAGTATTGTCCATATATGAGCTAAGTGGAAGATTCTTCTTTTTCTTTTGCTGACAGTCAGATATGTCGATAGTTAGACACACTTAGGACAAACATTTCCTCATCAAAACAATAAAAAATGCTATAAATACTACATATTAGTATTACTTTTCTCTTTCAGTTAGCTAATTTTCTACCATCTAGTATCAGTCCAGGTCATAACCACCAAATATTCATTCATTTTTAAGATTCTAATCCTTGAAATGTTTGTCCACGTGACTCCACTGTTGTTGTTTTTATTGATTAGTTTGATTTTGATGCATTATTTCTAATAATAATAATCATCATCTGATAATTTGAACAGTATGAGCGCCTTATCTTCTATCACTCCTTCACACTTTCTACCATCTGATTTACCTTTTATTATTCTAGAAAAGAATAAAAATACAAGATCACTTTGAACAGATTTGTTTTTCAAAGCTGAAGGATTCATTGTCTGAGTCCTGCTGGTTGTCAGCAGCTGCCTGATCAGCTCCACAGCTTTTTATGAACTTTATCTTCATCTTTCTCGGCGGCGTATGAACCGACCAGCTCTGCTCAAAGCGATGTGTTTGTATAGTTTTGGCTCCAGAAGCACCAGAGTGAACTCACCGATGGTCTAAAAACTGCTAAACCAGATAAACCATCCTGCTGTAACTCGTATGCAGGAATATTCAGCACCTTTGAGGTTTCATATATGACATCCTGTCCCATCTGTAGGCTGTCTGAGTGCACATGTTCATGCCTGTGGGTTAAAAGTGTGAGTGTGTGATCTGCAGTACATATAAACTCTACATCTTAAAATGTACACAAACATAAACCCACACACACACACACACACACACACACACACACACACACACACACACGCCACACTCTGGCCTCCCAGCAAAGAAGATCTGCTGTCAGGAGCGACTCTAGATGTTGATGATGGTGAAGCCTTCTGTGACGTAGACGGCTTCCTTCACTCGTCTCTCAGACCTTCTGTCCTCTTTGTCCAGAAGATGAAAGTCCCTCCAGATACAGGTGGACCGCTGGGTCTGGTCCTGAGGAGCTGCTCTTCTGTGTTTGTGAAGCTGTCTCCTATGACCATGTCCTCCTCCAGTGTTGCTTTGCTTGTGTCTTGGTGTTTTATCCTTGGGGTGAACCAGTGGGTCTGAAGAGCACTGGTACCTTGTGTTTGAAGGAAATCCCTCTGGACTTCTAAGACTCAGCAGCTACACGTGGAACATCAGTGCTGTTCCTCCTTTTGTTGCTGCTTGTTTTGGGCTTCACATCTTTTTGTGGATTTGATGAAGGCCAAGTTAGGATAGCCACAGTTTTTCTAACATGTGTTCCTTCTGTTTGGCCTCTGTGCTGGTTCGTCCTCAGCCCGGTGCTTTCAGGTTCTGATGACCCCTGGTTTGGGAATGGAACAGCAGATGTTGGTCAGTGTGTGCAGGATCTGGTGGTAGCTCCACCTCAACATGCACAGCGCAGTCTGCTGGTTCTCCTCCATATCTTGTGGACTTGACGTTGCCGTCCACTGAGTTGATGCGTCCGTGAAGGCTTCTACTTCATGGGCTTAAGAGGACGTTGTTGGTGCTTTTCGCTTTCATTTGATAGGACAGTGTAGAAAAACAGATAAACCTGGGGCAAGGACTGGACTGGACTACAGCACATGGGTCGCCATCTGATCCGGTTGAGCCACCGGGGCGCCCAGAACTTCTTCAAGAACCTAAAAGAGAAGTCCAGTTGCTTTCTACTGAAGTACTGAGGGTTAAGCAGTAAATGTTCATCCTGTTGGACTGGTCAAGAGGTTCAGTCTTAAAGAATTAGAATATCATGAAAAGTTTTTCCTGTCAGTTATTTTAGAAAGCGATGAAGATTTTATCTATTCACTGCACGTAAAGTAAAATGTTTCAAGCATTTTTATTTTGTGTTTGAATAAATATGGCAAAAAGAATCATATCTAAATATTAGAATATTCCATTTTCAACCAGTATAAATACCACCCTGCATCTCTCGGTATCGTTCAGTACACACAGTCATGGGGAAGACTGCTGACCTCAGAGTTTATTGCTGAAACGACCGGCTTTAGGCAGAGTGCTGGACATTTCTAATATCAAGCCACTCTTAAACCAGAGTTGACGCTGGAGCTTCCTCATTTGGGCAAAGGAGAAAAAAAAGTGAACTTGAATTCAACTTTATGCAAGTTTGTGGACACGCAGCATCAGGCCTCGATAAGAAAAGAAAACGCTCTGTCTCCATCACTGTTCATCTGTTGGTCCCCCTGTTCTGGGTCAGACTGGCTGATTGGCTTCAATGTCATTTATTCATTTGTTTTAAAAGAAAAAGAAGAAAAAAAAAGGTTCATGAGGCCTCAAACATCGGGTCTGCAAGCATATTTAGCATTTTTTTTTAATGTGTCTCAGTTTTGGCCTTTTTCAGCTCATTTGATGATGATTTGATGATGATTTTTAGGTTGTTTTGTTTCTGATTTTGATCCTTGCGTGACTAGTTTTATCTCTAGTTGTGTCTTGTTTTGTTTGTTTGCATCTCAGTTGAATTATTTTGCGTTTAGTTTTTACAGTATTGTGTCCTGTTCGGATCAGTTTGTGGTCCTCTGGTCTCACTTTAAAGTCATTTTGTCTTGTTTTTGTCTCTTACTTGGGTTTTTTATGCAAAGTTTTACGTCCGTTTTGTTCATTTTGGATTTTCTATGATTGTTTTGTGTCTTGTATTGATCCTGTTATTTAAAAACATCACCTACTGATGGACTCTGGCTTTTAAAAATCTATTCTTAAATTGAACAGAGCTGTTGTGGGAATATTCTGCTGTATGAATGACTTCCTTTTATCGTGCACACACACACTCACAAAGACAAAAACATGAGCCTGGTTATGAGAAAAATCTGTGCCGAAGCTGAACCTGTTCTTTTCTCCATCAGATCCAAATGGACATAAAAGCACGAAGACTTCGGAACCAGGACATTAACCCGTGCATCGAGGTGAGCGTGCCGACCCGTTACACGCTGGTACATGCTGAGCTTCTGACCCTGTTCTAAGGTCGTATCTGCTTCTGTTTTTCAGGAAAGTGATGCCTCCCAGAAGTGTTTAGACGCCTACAACTACGACAAGAGCATGTGTTCGGCCTATTTCCAAAGATATAAGAACTGTAGGAAATACTGGGTGAGTGTGTTTTTTTATAGGATCAAAGAAACGAGAAAGCTGGCAGAGACGAAAACACAGTGTTATATCTGTGTATGGTATTTTGGATTGCTCACTACCAAAGGGACTCGGGCTTTAACCCCCAGTAGGTCCTTGTGGGATGGTTTTGACAGTAGAGCAGGCTGTCCGGTAGTTGTAGGGCTGCCAGTTGGACTCA